ACCTAATAACTAAGATCCACAAAAAACACTAAATTCAATTACCTGTTTGCTTATAATATCAATATTATTCAAAAGAGCTTGACATCGTTAATGTCAAATAAAGGAGGGAAAACAATCAAAAACGCATACCTAGAAAAAGACAAGAAATATAGATTTGCTTCTCCCTTACTCTTATGTCTAACTATATACGTGCATTCCTTTCACACGCTGATGACGTCACTGAATGTTTAGTCTATAAGATACTATGTCTATGTGGCGTACTTACATCGTAGATAGAGTATTGACTAGATAAAGCATTCGCGTATGCTTTTGAGATAGAAATAGGCGTGATTTTTTTTATAGGAGTTTATGGCCTGGTATCTAGACCTTTAGGCCAAGTCTTGAGTATTTTTATTCGGTTTATTATAAATAATTATCCTTCATAGTTCACTGCTTCACAATATGTTGATGCGTCACATTGTGCAGCCCTTGAGAGATTTTGACGGCAATTTGAGCCAGCAGACAGCTGATAGTTGGCGATGGTATCTCAAGGCGCCTATGCAAACAAACAGCTTATCTTGAGAATCCATCACCATCAGAGCACTTGTTTCACTGTTTCCACTAATAGTTCACATGCGTAGACAATTAATACACAAAATCGCACCACTTTTACATATCAAAGTCCACTTCAAACCATTATTTAAACAATAATACAGGAGCAGCAAACCGCCGCTGATCAAATTCCCGCCAAAACTCAGAAATAGGCGTGAGGTACTTTCACTGGGTTACCAGATATTGTTCCATTTCCCCCGTTATGGGTTTATTTATATTCACAGCACTTACATTCTTACAAAAAACTTAATTGTTACCATAAAAAATGTTCTTTTATAATTCAGATGATTAATTAATTTCTCTTGAAAATACATTCTGTGACAAAAACTACGGGCGGAAACGGCGTAAAAACAGAATCATCATTCTGTATTCAATGGCGCATCGACGATTTTACTGGACATTCAATAAACTCCTTGGATTTTGACGGCACTAAGTGAAGGCGCTAATAGCACAAAGTGTGATATCGCTAATAAATAACAATATGTTATGTATGTACTTAAATATTAATTGAGAATAAAAATATTAAATAAATTAATATTTTTATTCTCAATTAATATTAATATAATTATTAATAAACTACTACTAAAATTTCCTTGTGTCGAGTTTTGTTGTTTTTACAAAAAAAAAATCAATAATGTTTTAACATACCATTCCATCACAAGTTCAGTGCTGAACACAGACCTTCGAAAGGAAAGGGTTTCCACTTAAGTTTTGTAGTACAAAACACGGTTATGAGCCTATTCCCGCGATTTCCTGCATGTTTTGTTAAGTTAGTGTCTTGTGTGCGGCAAGTTGTGGCGTACAAGAGAATTTGTCTGTACACGGGATGATATTACCCCGCGTCGTAAGCAATAATACAAGATGGGGATGGGGCAGCAGCACTTTCCCGATGAAAACTTAAAATAATAAAAAACTGCGGTGGCCAACCAGCATAACGCATATTTTCACGCAGGCGCGGCAACTATGGCAAGTCATCCTATGAGGATATCTATGGAAGGCCTTTTTTAGTGACTTACTTATGGTTAAGTGGCTTAATCATGTTACCTAATGGTTAAGATGGTAAAATGTTTTAGTTAATATACATTGTAAAGCATCAACAAAGAATTTTTTTTTTTGTAATATGTTGGTATATAAAATAAAAACGAATGTTTTATAATATTCTATTTTAATTTACCATGCAGTGTAAGATTATCTGCTACCTCATATCATTCCATGGGTGGTGTATGAGGCGACATAGGGAAACATCAAAGAAGATAAACAGCAGCATTGTCCTGATAACGACTAAATAATGGTTGACAACGTGCTTTCCAAGCGTTGAAACTATGCCAAATAACTATAATCATGTTTATGTTCAACAGTGGACTTTTGATAGACTGTAGAGATATATATTCTATTTAAATGAAAATATATTGAAATTTAAAAAGGAAAAAGAACTAAATTTTGTGTACTTACACAACATTCAGAAATATTAACAATGTTACATTAAGTAAAAGAAATGAAAACACAATTATATATTAAATATAATTCAATAAATCAAAATAAACAAACGATTACTTATTAATTTTTGATCACATTAATAAACAACAAATTTAACAAAATTTTTGTCTTCTTTCCTTGTAATTCTTCGTTGTAATTCTTGGTTTGAGTAGCTTTAGAATTTCTCAAAAATGTGCATTTGTAAACTTGATTTATACTTTTGCATGGCAAAAATTCTTGGGTGCTGGTTGTGGTATATATATATATTATTTGCCTTGTATATAATATATTTTAATGGTATAAATAATAAGGTACAACTCCTAAACTATACTTAGAAAATTAATACTTATCTCTTGTCAAAAACATGTTTATTACATTATTTTTATGACAATTAAATAGAAATTATCATAATTATTACATTTATTTCTTAATTTATTTACATATTAATGTTTATAACACCTTTATAAAAGGGATTAAGGGTGGACTAAATGTCCCATTGGTAGGCATTCCCAGTCAGTTTTACAATTATTATTGCATAATAAATTATTCATTTTAATATTTAGGCCAGGACTTTAAATTACTTATTTCTTTATTTTATTTAAATCTTTATTTACATAAAACATGGTAGTACAGATAAAGTTCCAACATTTGTAAATGAGGATTCATGTTTAATCAATACATCTATAAGTAAATATTTTGTCATTGTCATGCCATCCAATTATTACAAGTCATAATAATACAGAATGTCAGCATTTGAAAATAAAATAAGCAATGCTAGTCAATTTTTAATACATACAGAACAATGTCAAAAATCATAACTACCAACAAGATCAAACTTATATCACTTATGGAGAAACAACAAGATACAACAAGAAGTTATAACGTTTAAAAAATTATCTTAATTATATTATAAATTACATAAGTTAAGCATATTTAATCCACCTAAAACAATGAGGCTTAAAATGTTTTGAGCATACACTGGTAAGTTTCGTTGGTTACCTATAAGCACTACCAGTAGCGATTATCCAACTGTTACGGATAGCTGATTCCTTAGGAAAGCTGTGAAATAATATATTTAAAAGAAATTAATATATTAAATATATAGTACACTTTTATATCAAAGTATTTAACAAAAAAAAATCAAGTATGTGTATCTGTGCATAAATACAATACCTATAACAATTAAAACAATATCAATTGATTTAATTAAATAGCAAGTATATGTAAATGTAATGATAATATTATTCATACCAAACATTTAAAAAAATTATTTACATATTAAGCTTTAGATATTGTTAATTAATACATTTACAGCCTAACAAATGTCCTCCACCGCTGAACATAGACCTCCCACACAGTTTGTCTCCAAATAACTGCAGTTGCCAATTCTCCTGCCAAGCTAGGCAACTATCACAAAACCTATAACTTTTGATACTGACTAATGGTAACGGTAAGTATATTATCATCAAATTTTTTCTACATCATTAATTGAGAATATTATCTTATGTTGTTGTGTTAGTGTGTATCTTAAGATTAAGACTTATTTATTTATTTATTATTTTATCTATATTTATATTTATTTTTATATTAGCACGACATATTTTTTTTAATAAATATTGTAATGTAATTGTTGCTAATGTATAATAGAATTAATGGAATGCAATAAAGTTTAGTGCATCTGATTTCAGGCAATACATATTTTGTGAAATTAAAAATACTTTGCCCAATATTTATGTACTTGAATCCAAACATGTTTTCATGTTGATACTTACATATTATTTGTGACGTCTATGTAATATGGAAAATGATTGAAGAGTTGTAGGGCAATAAGGAGTTTCCTTTAAAGCTGAACATAAAAGTGTATGTATATGTATAACATTATGTGATTCATATTTATGGACATAACTACTAATCACAATAACAATTATTATTGAACAATGCGAAAACATTATTGTACTTGCTGATATCCCTAAAGTTTCTATAATCCTACCAAATCAAAAAGTACACGTTTGTTATGACTTTAAGCTTTCGAATGACCGTTCAAATTAAGGAGCATTATCATGAAGAATTTACAATTTGGGAGTCCAAATATTTGACAAAATACATCACAAAGTACATTAAAAACATGAAATGTTATACTTTATATTCAAAATAATAGATATTAATCAGTACAAGTAGCAAATGTAAGCACAAAACAAACTTACCGATGAAAGGTTATATTATCAATTTTTCGTTGACTGATGCTGTTGCATCCTAAAATGCTACAACTTACCATTTTTTTCACCTTACCTAATAACTAAGATCCACAAAAAACACTAAATTCACTTACCTGTTTGCTTATAATATCAATATTATTCAAAAGAGCTTGACATCGTTAATGTCAAATAAAGGAGGGAAAACAATCAAAAACGCATACCTAGAAAAAGACAAGAAATATAGATTTGCTTCTCCCTTACTCTTATGTCTAACTATATACGTGCATTCCTTTCACACGCTGATGACGTCACTGAATGTTTAATCTATAAGATACTATGTCTATGACTTACATGCATTTACTTTTACTATGGAAGTCCCGCCTCTTAAACGTAGTGGTTATATTCTCTTTGGTATGTATAGTCGTTACGCTTTGACCGTTGTCAACGGCGCAGCAGAAATATTTTCCTTTATTAATTAGTATTATGTCTGAAATCAAAAAGTTATTATTATAACAACTCTCTTATATATTTTCTGATCTTTTTGTTGAAATTTGTAAGCCAGAATTGGCCTCCAAATAACAAAATAAAATAATATAAATATACGTAGCTTTTGACAGTGAAAAATTTTGACATATATTTAAACTAGGCTGTATGGTCTAACATCTTTATCTGACTTAATTGGCTAATCGTAACAACAACAGTCATTGTCAAATGTCAATGTCAAATTTATATTTTTGTGACGTGTTTCATTGTGGACGATAAAAGTAACTTTGCGTAAATTTAATCATAAGTTTTATGAAACACGTATTGTAGTTTTGTGATCCAGTTCGTTACCATGGTGGTCTTGGAAAGTGAAGGTGGTGATACAAATCAGTTATCGACGGATGGGGATAAATTAGAGACTAAATTACCAAATGTCATAACGTTAGAAAGTATCCTTTTTTAAATATTATAAGCAGAGGTCATAAAAGCTTACTGGGTAAACCCGATTTTAGGACAAATTAGTTTTTCTAGTTTTTCCTAAGTCTGTCAAGATGAACTAGATGTTCGCGGCTTTTGGATGGTTCAAGGGTCACCTCAGCCGCACCTCAACTTACTATTGCTGATATTACATTTCCCACAGGATTAATTCGATTTTTCTGTAAAAAATAGTTTAGCCCAAAAATCTCGCAATAAACATTATGTAAAATGTCAAATTAAACACTAAATACTCCTGGTCAAAAGCTATTATAACTACCATATTGGTCAAAATTACTTGTAATTAATATTTTTGGTCAAAATCACTGCAAACCAATATTTTTCAGTAAATATTATTTTTGCCCAAGCTTCCTTAGTCACAAATATTAGGAACTGTTTTTGTTGGTACATATTAGTTTTGACCGGGAAATAGTCTTATATATATTTCATAATTAATACAATATAGATTATTACAAGATTATTGAAACAAATGTTGTTATTTTGTTCTTTATTTTATTGAAAACTGAGTTTTTGAGTGCTGAAACTTTGGACATGTATGTTTAAAAAGTAGGTCTTCCGAACAGTAGACATTTGAAAGTGCTGACTTTGGGTAGTTTATCCAAAAGTAGGCTTTTTAATTTGCAAACCATTATAAAATCATTTGCATAATGCATTTGTATTGTTTTATATTACATTTTAGATTTTGACACTTGTTATAGGAGTGGCTTGCCATAAGTTTCGATTTATAGTTCTGTAGTTTAGGTTTTATTAGCAAACATGAAATAAAAAGGAATGCTTTTAAAAATGAATCATTATTAGATGTGATTATTTTCTTCTGTCACATCCAACTTTCACCACCATACATTAAGGTAGGGACGAACACAGCATTGTAAATTGCCATACATGCCTTTTTTGACACTTTTTATCTCTCATCTCATAGCTTAAGTTATTTATGTATTTAGCGCATTGAATTAATGATAAGTAAAAGTTCTAAAAAATTTATAATTTTTTTTTTCAATATGGCCTTTAATAATGTGGTTATGTCCCAATAAATCTGCCAATGTCCGGTCTTTGGTCTACCACACCTTGTCTTGAGGCTTCTTGGTGGGAAAGGAGTTGGAGGTTATTAGGTAACAATGTGGCTAAAAACAAAACTCAACCAAATACACAAGTTATGGACAACACAATACAGAACAAACATCTAGTTATAGCAGGGAAGTAGCCTGAGCAGCGCATACAGAATTAGGTTAAGCTAAAGTTAGTACACAATAATTTATAGTTTAACATTTGAATATATTTTGAGATCATATTGGACAATATTTATCAAACATTTTTATAATGTCTTCAGTGTGTTATAGTGGCATCTACGGTTTTGGAGTGCATCAGGTATGTTTGCAGAGGCTCATATGGATGGCTTTTAGGCCATCTTACCCAAGAGAGTTGCTTCTCTGATGCATAGAATCCAAGGAATTACTAACGCCATCTTCAATATAAATCAGATTAGTGACTTTGCAAAGTTGAGACATAGGTGTATATACACAATGCACATGTACCTGGCACCATAGGATGAAGAAAATAAGATTTGCTTGATTGGTGGGTAGGAGGCCGGTAAGAACCAGAGGTACACAGCAACACCTTCTTATACCCGCTTCTTAAATTACCATTACAGCCTATTAAAGTCCACTGCTGAACATACGCTTCCCCATAGATAGCCTCATAGGGAGGATATTTGCTATAGTTGCCACGCTTGGCAAGGTTGGCAACTGCAGTTTTTTTGTTATTAGAAAGACGCTGCTGGCCATCTCCTAATTTCTAGAATTTTCTATTTATTCTTTGTCACATGTTATGACATTCAAGTTTGTCATTTTATCTAAATATAAAAAAAATGAAATGTGCAGAAGTTTTATCAGCGCAGCACACAAAGCTATTCGATAAACTCAACTTTAAAAAATATAGCTAAAATACAGACAGAAAAACGAACAGAGTGAAATTATTAGAATACTTGTATTGGCTTCTATTGCATTCCCAAATTCGTCCAAGATAAATTAAACTTAAATGGACATAATCTATATCATATATACTACATGTGACTAAAATTGAAGTGCCTGTTTCGGTTTTAATATTGAAATAACTGCCTTTTATTAAACAGATGGCGTTATTTGCAGTTATTTGCATGCCATTATGATATGAATAACCATTTTTAAAATGTTTGCCTGTCTGCCAGTCTGTCTGTCCGGGATAATCTTCAGAATGGCTTAACTGATTGTAATGAAGCTTAATTAACAGATAGAGCACTGCCAGGATGTATTTAACTAATTATCGCCACAATAGTAACAGATACTAACCAGGCGAAACTGGGGAGCTACACTAGTAAGTTTATATAAACATGGAAGGTCGTGCCAAATTCTAACCAGAATCTATATCAAAAACCTATTTGAAACCTTAATGTGTATCAGTATTCCGTATCACGAAGGACGCTCAGCAACAACACGGTCTCCGTCATGCAGACTACCAACGTTACCGAGGTTACTGTTCACGTCGTCTTCGCCGTTTGCGAAAAGTTCTTAAAATTCCGCAGGTAAGTTTCATTATTAATAGTTGCATAGTAATAATCTTGACATATAATAGCGATGAAACAGGATCACTTCGTGGGTACAGTAAATCTAACTTTTCCAAACTTCTGAACCAATCAATGAGCAGAAACATTTCGTTGTGTGTGTTTTAATACAATACCCATTTTAGTTTAGTTAGTTTAGTTTAAGACGGGCTGTTCCGCAACTCCACGTCTATGCGCGTATTTTGCGTGTGGGCAGGAATAATGTGATTATTCGAGCCATGAGATCTCCCCGAAGAAGCTCAACAATCCTTTGATGTTGCATGCAACTTCGGGCAGTGATCCCGGCGTGCCGAGATGTTTAGCCCTGTACGTAGCGACACCCGGACATTTCGTGCACGTGGGGCGCCGTTTCTTCCTCCCCCATACATGCTCTGCATAGGGGACTATCTGTAACACCTATGGTAAATAAATGTTTGTTAAAGTTGCCGTGTCCTGTGATAGCACTTGTTACTATCCTGATCTGCGGCTTGTTCAGTCTCATTAAAACTTTGGTTAAGCGACTGTTTATTTCAGGCAGGGCCTCCCTAGCTTGTCTGCAGTCTACTAGACTTTTCCAAAGCTGAGCGTGTTGATTAGTGAAGTGTCTACATACCAGTGAATGAATGTTACCAAAGGGGATTGGTATGATTGGTTCCGGCCCTATAGTGGCCAGAGCCGATCCTCTTCTGGCCAGTTCATCTGCTGCATTGTTGCCTCTGGATCCACTGTGTCCCTTTATCCATTGCAGAATCACTTTATCCATTGTTTTTGCAATGGATAAACAATGCAGAAACAACAATGTGATTCTGCATTGTGATTCTGCATTGCAGAATCACATTGTTGTTTTTACATACCTCATTTAATCGTTGATGGCATTCATATATTAGTCCTGAGTTCACCACATTGCAACTCAGAGCTTGTATTGCCGCCCTACTGTCGGTCAGTATTCTGCTGGGGAATTCATTAACCTTCCTAGCATCTATTGCTATGGCCGTTTGAATGATACCCATACATTCCGCCTGAAAGACTGTGTTATAGGTACCCAGCGGTGTGCATATGTTGATATTGAGGTCTTCAGAGAAAGTTCCAGAACCTACACCTTCATTTGTTTTAGAACCATCGGTGAAAACTCTAAGCTCTTTTGGGCTTAATCCTTCCGGTTGGCTGGTTTCATTTAATTGTATCTTGTACTTCTTATCGAAAACAAATTGTTCTCGACTGCGCAGGTCCTAGCGCAGGTGGGTGTGTTAGTCCACCGGGTACACCCACTCTCTCCGGCGGAACCGTTGCCTCCTCCTTTCTCATCCGGGCTTGGGACCGGCAATGGCGAAGTTTACAATACCCATTAGTTACAAGCTCTACAAAGCGATTCAAAAGAAATATATACCACGTAAAGTTATTGTTTTGGGCGCCATATGGCAACAATCCTCTGACCCCATGAGCATGAGTTTTCTATCGTATTAAATTCGTATCTTCGAGTGACTTTGAAAAAACAATTGTTACATGTTCCACACAATTTTAGGTCGATAATATTACAAAAATTAATACATAAATAAATGATCCACCAGAATTAAGTTTATATAATTAAGGCGGGTCTTAGAGAATTGACAACTAGTAACAAAGTAGATTTACATTTAACTTGTATATATTAATAAAATTAACTTATAGACAGAAAAGAAGAGGTTGTAGATGTCTATCATTTTCATTATCATCATCTTTACAGCCCTTCAAGAGTCTACTGCTAAACATAGGCCTCCTCCAAGGAATGCCACAAAGCACGGTCCTGTGCCACCTGCACCCATCGACTTTCTGCATGTCTTACCAGGTTATCACTCCATCTAGTGAGGGGACGCCCCACACTTCGTCCGCCGGTACGAGGCCGCCACCTTTTTTCCCCATCGGTTGTCGGTTCTTCGAGCTATATGGCCGGCCCATTGCCACTTCAGCTTACTAATCCGTCGGGCTATGTCGGTCACTCTGGTTCTACTGCGGATATCCTCATTTCTAAGTTTATCGTGCAGAGAAACTGAGCATTGCCCTCTCCATAGTTCGCTGAGCGTCCTTGTACTTCCTCATCCGGCCACCAGTGAAGGACCAAGTCTCAGTACCATAGGTCATCACTGGCAACATACACTGGTTGTACAGTCTCGCACTGGTGGCTCCGCTGAAGGGACTGCAGTACCACCCAAATTTGGACGGAATCAAAGGCTTTCTCATAGTCCACTTACGCCAGACATAATGGCAAATTGTACTAGATGTCTATGGGCCACAGTATCCACTTACCAGTGCTCGTTTGTCACCCTTATTCTATGTAAAAAAAAGATTCTATTACAATTATAATGTCATGTTGTCTGATGGCTTTTATAGCGCCACTATAAAACGGCTGTATCTGTAACTATATCTGTAATAGTGATACAGTCAACTCTTGATAATTTGACACTCGTTAATTTGACTCGATAATTTGAAATTTTTTCTCGGTCCCTTGAAAAATACTCGATAAATTGAATAAAATCAGTATTAATTGGTCCCTTCGGTAATTTGAAGCTGAAGGAATAGTATCTTGCCCGCCAACATTCTATAATTTGAAGTTTGGATTTCCCTACTCTCGATAATTTTAAGTGTTTATCATGCACAGACCTGTCGTTTGTATACATAGGTACATGTACAGACCTGTAGATTGTTTACATGAATGAGAGACTTCTTTTTAAAAAAACAACCTTTTTTGACATTTGTGAATAATTGTATAAATGTTTAAAATAGTAAATCACGAATTTTGATCAGTCTTGTTTATTTGTTTTTTTCCTTCCCTCTCTTGGTTATCTAAACTTCAGTTATATTGAACTCTTGCTAATTTAAAATTTTTCTTTGGTCCTTTGAGTTTCAAATTATCGAGAGTCGACTGTACATACCCATGTACAATTAAGTTAAGCTTAAATAATTTGTGCATTCAAAACTTGACGCCATCGCAGGCAATGTTATGAAAGTTTGCTACTTATTCCAGGGAGACAGGCGACACTATCGTCGGCGTGATGTCACTTCCGCTCATTTGACTGCGGCTAATGCTGAGAACCGGCTTCTATGTGTGCCGTTGTTGCAAGCAGAAAGAGCTTGGGCGCACGCTATGCAACTAAGGCAGGAAGCAAACACAGAGCCGAGAAAGAAGTTCCATTTAGTTTCTCGTTTGAAAAAGGCATATGCACATGCGCAAACTTTGATGCAGTTATGCGAGGTAAATTTTATTAAATTTAATGTTACTTATGATTTTTTTAAACTTTAACAATTAATGTTACCTCACCAATTATATGTAATATATTGAATAATTTAATTTAAACAGGAACTAAGCGTAAATTTCACAGCGAGCAACTCGCGTCGATCCGCACCGGCAGCAATGTAATTGTAAGTTGCAGTTTTAAGCGCTGATATGTCATGTGCTCGACGGTCAACATCATGGGGAACCTTGCATGTCTGCAGAATAAAAATATTTCGAGTATATATGAAGTCCACCAACAAACACTAGGCTAGTGCGGTGTACTAGTCGTTCTATAACTCTCTAAGAAATGAGAGGCCTGTCACCTGCAGCAATAGAACGTTGTATATACGCTTAAAGGTTGTATTATCTTATAGAGTGGGGTATGCGATGCACGTACTCAGTTGGAGGCGGGCGCGTACGCTGCGTGGCTGGGGGGCGTCCTGCTGCTGGAGCTGCAGCAGTGGCGCGCCGCCGCCGACAGTCTGCAGCGCGCGCAGCTCGTGCTCGACAAGCTGTGCGCCGCGCTGCCCGACGACGAGCGGCACGTCTACAAGCAGAAGGTGAGTGTCGCACCAGGATAGTGTGCACACTTCACTGTGAGGACGACGAGCGGCACGTCTACAAGCAGAAGGTGAGCGACGCACCAGGATAGTGTGCACACTTCACTGTGAGGACGACGAGCGGCACGTCTACAAGCAGAAGGTGAGCGACGCACCAGGATAGTGTGCACACGTCACTATGAGGACGACGAGCGGCACGTCTACAAGCAGAAGGTGAGTGTCGCACCAGGATAGTGTGCACACTTCACTGTGAGGACGACGAGCGGCACGTCTACAAGCAGAAGGTGAGCGACGCACCAGGATAGTGTGCACACTTCACTGTGAGGACGACGAGCGGCACATCTACAAGCAGAAGGTGAGCGACGCACCAGGATAGTGTGCACACTTCACTGTGAGGACGACGAGCGGCACATCTACAAGCAGAAGGTGAGCGACGCACCAGGATAGTGTGCACACGTCACTATGAGGACGACGAGCGGCACATCTACAAGCAGAAGGTGAGCGACGCACCAGGATAGTGTGCACACTTCACTGTGAGGACGACGAGCGGCACATCTACAAGCAGAAGGTGAGCGACGCACCAGGATAGTGTGCACACGTCACTATGAGGACGACGAGCGGCACATCTACAAGCAGAAGGTGAGCGACGCACCAGGATAGTGTGCACACTTCACTGTGAGGACGACGAGCGGCACATCTACAAGCAGAAGGTGAGCGACGCACCAGGATAGTGTGCACACGTCACTATGAGGACGACGAGCGGCACGTCTACAAGCAGAAGGTGAGCGACGCACCAGGATAGTGTGCACACTTCACTGTGAGGACGACGAGCGGCACATCTACAAGCAGAAGGTGAGCGACGCACCAGGATAGTGTGCACACTTCACTGTGAGGACGACGAGCGGCACATCTACAAGCAGAAGGTGAGCGACGCACCAGGATAGTGTGCACACGTCACTATGAGGACGACGAGCGGCACGTCTACAAGCAGAAGGTGAGCGACGCACCAGGATAGTGTGCACACTTCACTGTGAGGACGACGAGCGGCACATCTACAAGCAGAAGGTGAGCGACGCACCAGGATAGTGTGCACACGTCACTATGAGGACGACGAGCGGCACATCTACAAGCAGAAGGTGAGCGACGCACCAGGATAGTGTGCACACTTCACTGTGAGGACGACGAGCGGCACATCTACAAGCAGAAGGTGAGCGACGCACCAGGATAGTGTGCACACGTCACTATGAGGACGACGAGCGGCACGTCTACAAGCAGAAGGTGAGCGACGCACCAGGATAGTGTGCACACTTCACTGTGAGGACGACGAGCGGCACATCTACAAGCAGAAGGTGAGCGACGCACCAGGATAGTGTGCACACTTCACTGTGAGGACGACGAGCGGCACATCTACAAGCAGAAGGTGAGCGACGCACCAGGATAGTGTGCACACGTCACTATGAGGACGACGAGCGGCACATCTACAAGCAGAAGGTGAGCGACGCACCAGGATAGTGTGCACACTTCACTGTGAGGACGACGAGCGGCACATCTACAAGCAGAAGGTGAGTGACGCACCAGGATAGTGTGCATACGTCACTATGAGGACGACGAGCGGCACGTCTACAAGCAGAAGGTGAGCGACGCACCAGGATAGTGTGCACACTTCACTGTGAGGACGACGAGCGGCACATCTACAAGCAGAAGGTGAGCGACGCACCAGGATAGTGTGCACACGTCACTATGAGGACGACGAGCGGCACATCTACAAGCAGAAGGTGAGCGACGCACCAGGATAGTGTGCACACTTCACTGTGAGGACGACGAGCGGCACATCTACAAGCAGAAGGTGAGCGACGCACCAGGATAGTGTGCACACGTCACTATGAGGACGACGAGCGGCACGTCTACAAGCAGAAGGTGAGCGATGCACCAGGATAGTGTGCACACTTCACTGTGAGGACGACGAGCGGCACATCTACAAGCAGAAGGTGAGCGACGCACCAGGATAGTGTGCACACTTCACTGTGAGGACGACGAGCGGCACATCTACAAGCAGAAGGTGAGCGACGCACCAGGATAGTGTGCACACGTCACTATGAGGACGACGAGCGGCACATCTACAAGCAGAAGGTGAGCGACGCACCAGGATAGTGTGCACACTTCACTGTGAGGACGACGAGCGGCACATCTACAAGCAGAAGGTGAGCGACGCACCAGGATAGTGTGCACACGTCACTATGAGGACGACGAGCGGCACGTCTACAAGCAGAAGGTGAGCGACGCACCAGGATAGTGTGCACACTTCACTGTGAGGACGACGAGCGGCACATCTACAAGCAGAAGGTGAGCGACGCACCAGGATAGTGTGCACACGTCACTATGAGGACGACGAGCGGCACATCTACAAGCAGAAGGTGAGCGACGCACCAGGATAGTGTGCACACTTCACTGTGAGGACGACGAGCGGCACATCTACAAGCAGAAGGTGAGCGACGCACCAGGATAGTGTGCACACGTCACTATGAGGACGACGAGCGGCACGTCTACAAGCAGAAGGTGAGCGACGCACCAGGATAGTGTGCACACTTCACTATGAGGACGACGAGCGGTACGTTTACAAGCAGAAGGTGAGCGACGCACAAGGATATTGTGCACACGTCACTATGAGGACGACGAGTGGTACGTTTACAAGCAGAACGTGAGCGACGCACAAGGATATTGTGCACACGTCACTATGAGGACGACGAGCGGCACATCTACAAGCAGAAGGTGAGCGACGCACCAGGATAGTGTGCACACTTCACTATGAGGACGACGAGCGGCACATCTACAAGCAGAAGGTGAGCGACGCACCAGGATAGTGTGCACACTTCACTATGAGGACGACGAGCGGTACGTTTACAAGCAGAAGGTGAGCGACGCACAAGGATATTGTGCACACGTCACTATGAGGACGACGAGCGGTACGTTTACAAGCAGAACGTGAGCGACGCACAAGGATATTGTGCACACGTCACTATGAGGACGACGAGCGGCACATCTACAAGCAGAAGGTGAGCGACGCACCAGGATAGTGTGCACACGTCACTATGATGACGACGAGCGGCACGTCTACAAGCAGAAGGTGAACGTCGTACCGAGATAGTGTGCACACGTCACTATGATGACGACGAGCGGTACGTCTACAAGCAGAAGGTGAGCGACACACCAGGATAGTGCGCAAACATCACTATGAATGTGCAGTATTTCATTTATTCATTATTCATGAAAATTTATTTTAAATAAAAATTGTCAACAACACAGGTAGAAGAGTTGAAGCCAAGCTTAAGGTACTGCGCGTACAACATCGGCGACCAGTCGGCGGCCGGCGACCTGCTCGCCATGCGTGGCCAGGGACTCATCGAGAATCTAGACACGCTCATGGCGCAGGCAAAGTATGTCCTCCTATTTCATTTCCTAATATTGATCTTATATCATAAACGTTTTGTCGTACACTGTGTCGGAGTGTACACTTGTATCGCTAAAATTATGTACGCTTCTGTGTAGTGGCGACGTAAAAGAATCTATTACCCCATAACTTCCCGTGGGCATTGTAATACGCGACAGAAGGAAATGAAATAGGGTGGAGGAGGAGCATTTTTCTGATAACGGCTCAAAATAATAAAATATTACGGTTTGCGAATCCTTCTGCAGGGCATGGCAAATATTATTAATATCCACACTATGGCACAAACTTTGGCAACATTTTGAGCCAGTAATTATGATGATTATGAGACTTATCAAATCCTCCAAGAGATCATTACCTCTTTAGGAGTCAGGAGAAGGCTTTAAGAAGCCTTGGTAAAATGGAGAAAGAAACGCTCGCGCAGAAATATTCAGCTTCGGGGAAAAACAATATTTCATTTCATTGCGAAAATAAGACACAATTAAAAATATAAATTTTTCGTTTTTGGAGAAATCTTGTTGAAAAGAGTCTCTGTCTGTCACTCAATTTTTTTTACATATTAAACCAACAGTTATTGTGGTCATCATCATCATCATCATCATTTTACAGTCCTTCACAAGTCCACTAATGAACATAAAACTCCCCCAAGGAATGCCACAAAGCACGGTCCTGACCCACCTGCATCCATCGACTTCCTGCACGTCCCTACACTGCGCCTTCCGGTACGAGGCTGTTACTCGAGAACCTTTCTTTCCCATCGGTTGTCGGTTCTTCGAGCTATATTGCCGGCCCATTGCCACTTCAGCATACTAATTCTTTGGGCTATGTCGATCACTCTGGTTTTACTGCGGATATACTCGTTTTAAGTCTATCACGCAGAGAAACGCCGAGCATTGCCCTTTCCATAGCTCGCTGAGCGACCAACCTTCCTCATACGGCCAGCAGTGAAGGACCGCGTCTCAAATCCATAGGTCATCACTGGCAACACGCACTGGTTGAACAATCTAGTTTTGAGGTTTTGAGGTATGTCTAACGAGAAGATATGTCGTAATCTCCCGAACGCTGCCCAGCCGAGTGGAATCCGCCGATTGACCTCTAGGTCGAAGTTGGACTTACCTAGTCGGACTATTTGTCCCAGGTAAACATATTCGTCAACAACTTCGAGCATAATGCTTCTAACAACTACCAGAATAGGTGTGACATGGACGTTAAACATGATTTTGGTTTTGCATATGTTCATCTTAAGACCTATCCGTTGGGAGACACTATTGAGGTCATTGAGCATAGTGCTTAGGTCCTCCAGCGATTCTGATTCTGATAAGGACTATATCGTCGGCAAATCGAAGGTGAGTGATGTACTCGCCATTGATGTTGATACTGTATCCTTTCCAGTCCAGTAGCTTGAAAACGTCTTCCAATGCAGCGGTGAAGAGTTTCGGGGATATTACGTCACCCTGTCTTATACCTCTCTGCAGTTGGATAGGTTTCGCACTCTCTGGTTCTGTATTCGGATAGCCATCGTAGCCCTACTCTACAAACACTTCAGCACTTCGATATACCGACAGTCCACTTGGCACCGCTGGAGGGACTGCAGCACCGCCCAAATTTCGACGGAATCAAAGGCTTTCTCATAGTCCATATACGCAAGACAAAGTGGCAGATTGTACTCTTCGGTCTTCTGTAAAATTTACCGAAGGATATGTATGTGGTCTATGGTGCTAAAGCCTTTTCGGAAACCGGCTTGTTCGGGAGGGAAGTCGTCGAGTCTGTGCGCGAGACGATTCGTAATGACTCTCGAAAACAGCACGTAGACGCGGCTCAGAAGGGAAATCGGTCTGTAGTTCTTCAAGAGAGCGTTGCTACCTTTCTTGAAGAATAAGACTACCGCACTACTGCTCCACGCCTTCGGTGTAATGCCACCACGGAGGACGGAATTAAAGAGCTTCTGAAGGACTTCAAGTACTGGTTTACCCAGGTCCACCCGCTTTCAGAAGCTCCGCTGTAATTTCATCCTCGCCTGGGGCCTTGCCGTTTTTAAGGTGCTGGAGAGCCATTCTAATCTCGCTCAGACTGACGTCCGGGATATCATCGGAATAGTGTCGGATAAGACTTGCCCTTGGATGGTTACTCACACTTACGTGTGGCTCCGACGATGACGTGTACAGCTGCCCATAGAACCGCTTAATCTCACTCAAAATCTCAGGTGTCTCGGAAACGATGCTGCCACATTCGGTCTTTAGCTTCGACAGTTGGCATTTTCCGGCAGACAGATCTCTGGCAAAGACTTTGGTGCCCTGGTTCCGCTCGATCGCTTCTTCAATATAAGCAGTTACCGTCTAATAGCCATGAGATTAAGACTGTGATCGGACAGTTTTGTGTTCTTCTGCGGCGGGTCTTGCAAAACTTAGCTCCGACCGCATGGACAGTTTCTACGAGCTTGTCATTTATATCGTCCACTACATTGCAATCTTCTAGGCACTGAAAACGATTTTGTAATTCAAGCTGAAAGGTTTCGGGACTTTGGATTAGAGCACGAGGGGGACGGAGCGTTGACTTCATTAGACGTAACTTCTCCAACTTAACGTTTAGTTTCAGTGTGTCTCTAACCATTCGGTGATCGCTACCAGTTTTCACCCTCGCGATCACTGAGACATCCCTGAACAGTTGTCGTCTGGTCGTCATAATGAAGTCAATCTCATTTTTTGTCGTACCTTCGGGGCTCGACCAGTACCACTTCCTGTGGGGCCGCTTCTGGAAGAAAGTGTTTATCATAAAGCGTCCCTCTTTCTCCATGAAGTGGGCCAGCTGCTGGCCCCTTGGGTTCCGTTGCCCTATTCAAAATTTCTCTACTTTCAGCTCACCGTTCTCTCTTGTGCCTAGTTTTGCGTTGAAGTCTCCCATTAACACCGTATAGTGGGTTTTGGAGGAATGCATGGCTCTAGGGATATCTTCATACATTTCCTCCACCTCCTCATCGCCATGTGCCGAGTTTAGTGATAAAACTGTATAACTTTCAACGAATACTGTTTGGTAATTCTAAGTATAAAGTACGCAACCCTCGTCGACACAGTCCCAATCTTTACAACGTTGTTAACGAAAGAGTTGTGGACGATAAATCCGACACCTCCTTGGGACAGATGGTCGCCCTCCCGGTGATAGAACAAGTTGCCGGATTCGAGGATTACAGTGTCCTCCCCCTCTCATCGGACTTTGGATAATCCTATAATATTCCAGCGCAACTTGTGCGTGGAAATAGAATAGAATAATTTTTATGCAATATACATTACATGTGTAATTCTTATTGAAAGTCATTTTTTACTTTACCACTGGTTCGAAAAAAAACCCTCTGTCCTGGGAAGAAGACCAGCAAGAAACCCAGCGGGACTTTTTTTTTAAATAAATTTTACAATATAAATGATTACGAACTATTTACAAAATTTATTTTAGAAACTCCTTGGAAGCGACCACCTCATTCCCAGGGGTTATTATCAACCATGTATTCATTTATACTATAATAACCCTTTTTATACAGTTTCAGCTTAATAAAACATTTAAAATTGATAATATTGGGTGCGAGCGTTATAAGTTGCCAGATTGAGTCGTCCTAGGTGGCAACCAAACCTCCACTGGAGATTCTTAGCACCTCCTGCTGTTACCATGGTCGCCACCGTATCCAGGAATAGCAGGGCTGCCGGGGTCTGGGGGGCCGTTTATTAATGTCATTGCTCATGGGGGGTATATTGCCCTAGTTGCCACGCTTGGCGAGCGGGTTGGCAACCGCAGTTTTTTTATTGCTTTTTGCTGTTATCAGAAAGATGCTGCTGCCCATCTTCTCCCTCAGTTTCCCTCTGTCGCCTTTTACGACACCCACGGGAAGATATGGGGTGGTGAGAATTCTTAGCCGCCACTACACGGGGAAGTTATTGTGATATTTTTACTTAAATATCCAAGAATTTAGTCATTTCACCCGCTCCGTGCCGTAATATTATATACCACTTATTAACCTGGTAGAGCCACATGAGTAAAGAAAGTCTTTACTCTGTGGTAGAGCTAAGCTGCAGCTATATAATGATTGGAGCACGAATACGTCGGTTCGACCGGGGAGGACCACGCTCTGACATAATACCAGCTTACAGTAGTATCTTAATTCCGCTGTGTTTCGTACGGTCAGTGTAGGAAACCGGAGACTTTTCACTAGTAGTAAGTCATTCTATCTTAATCCTCAAAACTGACAACACATTTTTATTAAAGTTAATTTAATAGTAAGTTAACTTAACTTGCTTGTTTCCGCGTAATGAAATAAAATTATGTGTCCTGTCCAGTTTGAAGAGCACCTCCCGCTCTCCCTCAATTGCGTGTACTGCCCCCTCACCACATAATCCCAGCACCGCCACTCCCAACACCACTACACTAGGAAAGACACAACACCATCGATTATAAAACACGTGTATCGCCTTTACACGGGGCAACCTCGGGTGAAGTAGACTCTGCGGTGGCTGACCGCTAAGTGAGCGGCGAGTCGAAACAGTTTTATTTCCAATCGAAATAATATGTAGGTGTCTATGGGCCACAGAATCCATTAACCATCAAATGTGCTCGTATGTCACTCTTATTCTATAAAGGAATATTATATTTTACACAGTAGAGCCATACTGCAGCAGCATGAATGGGTCGGCTCATAATGACAACAGCATTATATAATTATACTAGCTTTTTACCTGCGGCTACGCTCGCGTGAGTTTGAATTTAGGTACATCATTAAATGCTGTTCCGTGCCAAATTTAGCAAAATTCGATTACTTTTCGAGTCACCTCGGTGTCTTTCAAAGATTTTTTTTTTAATTCTAAGAGACTATTAGACGTAGATGATTGGTATTTGGCATAGATATAATATGCTACAGGAACACGCTAGAAACACCTACTATTTTTTATATCGGGCGTGTCTTCCGATGTATCCATAAGAAAGGTAAATTGTCTTGGAATCAAAATTTATTATTATACGCAGTTTTTGGCCAAAAAAGGGGTCGCTGCGCTGATTCCAACGCTGAATGACCTCAACTGGGAAACTTCTCAGATATGCAGGTTTTTCCTTCACTGCCGAGAACGTGGTAAATCGACACTTCAAAATGCAAGCCTTTGACAAGTAAAATAAATGAACCTTTGTTTAAGAAAAATCTGCTTTCTTTAATTAAAATATTTTTCCGCAAGAGCCTGTTCATTTACATATACTCATATGAGCTATGAAACGAAGACTGTCACATATATCTTAATATGTCTGAAAATATGAAAGTTATCTTAAATTATAAACTGATTTATAAGTCTCATTAAAGGTAAAAAAAGTAAAATAGCAGCTAATATATGTCTCATTACATGCAGAAAAATAGAGTATGCTGCAATACTTCAATGCATATTAACGGTTTTCACATATCCACGACTATTTTAAATACAAAGACATCTATGTTTCTTCCCCACGAAGTTATTCTTCACCACTTTAACGGACACGTGTTAAGTCAGCACGTAGCTTTTGCATGATTGTTGACAACATCTACCTAGTAATTACACATCCGACGTTGCCAAGAACGAATTTTCAATTTACATCGTACATTCAGTAGCATTCTATTATTTAATTTTATCTGTGATTTACCATTTTATTTAGAAGTAGATGGCGCTATTATTAGATGAAATAATGAAAGCCAAAACTATACTATCTAGTTATATCAGCGATAGAAGCGAACATTCATTTATTATATCAATAAGGCATAAAGTAATGTCAATTCTGTTAAAAGTTCTGTTTCTGTTAAAACAAATACACTATTAGCGCCGTTAGCGGTAAAAAACAATTGAATCATATGGTCATATGACCATATCATGAAATAGCAACGTTTTCTTTAGTTATTAATATCTTCAAACGATTTCTATTGATTGATTTGATCAAGCTATATCATGAGATGATCAACAAATAGTGTTAAATATTATGAAATGACCACACCATTTCACGAAATGATAGACTTGACTATTATCTATTGAAATTATTACACTTTTAAAATAAAATAACAAAAAACTAAACCTTAGAATTTTTAAATAATTTTAAAAATATAATTATTTAAACATATAAATATATGTTATTTATATTATTAATTTATTAGTAAGTGAAGGCAAAATATACTCACATGGAATACTGTTCCCATCTCTGGGCAGGGGCTCCCCAGTGCCAGCTCCTTCCACTTGACCGCATCCAGCGCAGAGCGGCTCGAATCGTCGACGACCGAGCCCTTTCCGATCGGCTCGATTCATTGGCACTGCGAAGAGATGTTGCATCTCTTTGCATTTTCTTTCGCATCTACCATGGGGAGTGCTCTGAGGAATTGTTCGGATTAATCCCAGCCGCCAAATTTCACGAACGCACATCGCGGCAGAACTCCCGATACCATCCACACCATCTGGATGATTGGCGGTCCACCACTGTGCGATTTAGAAGATGTTTTCTTCCTCGCACAACTTCCTTGTGGAATAGTTTACCACCAGGGATTTTTCCGGACCGATACGACTTAGGGACCTTCAAGAAAAGAGCCTACTCCTTTTTAAAAGGCCGGCAACGCATCTGCAATTCCCCTGGTGTTGCGGTTGTTCATGGGCGGCGGTAGTCACTTACCATCAGGTGAGCCGCATGCTCGTCTGCCCCCTCTCCTATAAAAAAAAAAAAAAAACTACTTTTTCCATTTGATGATAGATGGCGCTGTTTTGATAACTAATTCGGTGTAGTTTCAAATTATTTTACCAATGTTACAACTATATTTTAAACTTTATTTATAAATATGTTATTTCTTTGAAAAACACCCGTCATCCCACCTATAACTAAGATATATTAAAAAATTAACATCTAAATGAAAGAAGACACTTAACCTTATTTTTTGAAGTTCCGTAATCGAATAAAAAGTAGCCTATAAGTTGCCCCGCGTTACTAACTACCTACATACAAAATTTCATGTAAATCAGTCCAGTAGTTTTTGCGTGAATCCGGAATACACAGACAGGCAGACAGACAAACATTCTAAAAACCACTCATTTGGCTTCAGAACCCTAAGAATATATTAGAATTACAGACCCCGACTTCTACAGATTTATTATATGTATAGATTTATATTTCGTATGGTCAGCGTAGAGAACTAAGGCTCCTTTTTACTGGTAACGGGGATTCCATCTTAGTTCTTATGGGTGGTTATTTTATCCGCATTTTGATTATTAATCGATAATAATTAAAGATGTCTATGAGCACTGCTCCTTGTCACTCGGACTTATTTAAAAAAAAAGCAGAATTCTTAAAATGGTCGTGAAACTAATTCATATTACTTTTTAATTTAATTATAATATTAACTCACATTTATATCTCTTCACAGAGAGTCCCGCTCTGGAGTAATGCACGAAATAGAATGGCGCGGTCGTCGCGTTACTGTACGACCTGAGAAAGTGCGACTGTTCCTTATTGCCCTGCAGGACTTCGACAAATCCGTTCAGACGGCACAGACCGTCGAAGCTAAGATCGAAATCCTCGAAAACATTCTTATGGACTGTAAAGACGCAATATCAGCCCTCAAAGATGAGATAAAGAACGATCCCAAGCTTAAAACTGCACCGGAAACTCAAATGCCAAGTATCAATTACCTGCTTTCTTACTTGATGTATCTGCGTCTGATGCGTACGATTGAAAGGAACAATTTGTTAGTGCAGCAAGCAGAAGAAGCGCGCAAGAAGAATACTCAAATAGACGGCAAAAAAGTGCGTCCTCAAGACTTGACGAGGTTGTACGAGATCATCCTGCAAAACTATACGGAGCTGCAGCAGTTGCCTGGATTCGATAACGACGCCGATTACCAAAAGGAAATCGAAACTGCAATGAAGGCGTACCGCGCTTTCCGTTGCTATTACATCGCGCAAGTGTTGACTGGACTCCGTCGCTTCAGAGAGGCCCTCGCTATGTTAGAACGTAGCAGCAACTACACTTCGGAATCAGTCGCCAATAAACTCGCCGATAAAGAATTACTGCACAAAGTAGAGATGCTGCAAAAGGATATTGAAAGTTGTAAGTTCGAAGTCCACGCGGACTCAGTACTAGAAGACGACGAGGAAGACGAAGAAACTAAGTACACTTCGAGTGGTAAACCGTATAAAGATAAAAAACCTTTGGTTGACCGTTTGGACGAATACAGAGAAGATACGCAAGTGCTCACCAAAAACCCCAATATTTATAAACTACCTCCCCCGATGGAAGCGATACCTTGTAAGCCGCTGTTTTTCGACTTGGCGTGTAATTTCATCGAATTCCCCAATCTGGATGATAAGACGGGAGCAGCTGACGGCAAGAAGCAAGGGGCAGGTCTCACTGGACTTGTTAAAGGCTTTTTGGGATGGGGTAAAAGTGACAAATAACTTTTATTATACATATTGTACTAAAATGTATTAAAATACAAGTTGCTTATATTGGAACTTGATTGTTTTAATTAACTTTTTATTTCCTCTTTTCTGAAGACTAAGGTGGAATGTCTTATTATTCGTAAAAAGGTTCTCTGGTTCTCGTGGAGCTACTAAACGAAACAGCAGATTTCTTTATGCGTCTATTTAACTTGTACATGATACTCTTTACTTTGTGGGTTTTAAATCATGTTGTGGAAAAATAGTCTAATAAGTAACAAATAATAGCACTCATTGCAATCGCTCACAAATTCAAGTTGTAAATAAATTTCTAGAAAACAAGTCTGTTAAAAAAAAGCAATGCGTTGTCTTGTTTAATTTTGCTTAAAATTGTTGAACTGCCGTCTTATTACTATCATATGGCCGAATAAACCTACGAAGTACCATGTGCTCTTGTGATATGGTATAAGGTTTATTTTTGTTTGAAACAGTTCGAAACCATATGCTGTTATAATGCATAAAAAAAGTTCGCTAATAAAGTCTTGTCAATCCGCCGCCGTATAGCGCCGGCGTTTTTTTTGCTTTTCAAAACATGTGTTTTCAAAAACAACGCCGGCCATGAAGGCACGGCTTGCCTAAATTCATTTCTGGATCTATATTAAATAATCAAAAACGCATACATTATGCAATCAAAACATCAGTTACAAGCGAAATGATACTTGTTTTTAGTGGGTAACTACGTGTTTTCTTTGAAATTGAGAGTAAGTGACTTTTTTATGCAGAGATTACAAACCCTTCGTACTAATTTTTGTTTTATAAAAGAAATCATTTATATAAGTAGGTACAGCTAAATCACCCTGGAAAACCTTGGTTTTTATTAAATTAATTTTTCACTTAATAATAACATTTGTAAATATCAAACAATCAAGAACCTTAATTTGGAAAAAAATAATGTTTTTCATTAATATTTACAAATGGAGGTTCAATAGGAAAAAACGCCTGCGTTATACGGCGACAAAAGACTATTTATTAGCGAACTTTTTTTATGCATGAACGGTTTGGAAATGTTTCAAGCAAAATTAAACCTTATACCATAAAAGAGCACATGGTACTTCGTAGGTATATTCGGCCATATGATAGTAATAAGACAGCAGTTCAACCATTTTAAGCAAAATTAAACAATAAGACAAACGCATTTTTTTTTTTAACAGGAGACTTGTTTTCCAGAAATTTATTTACAACTTGAGTTTGTGAGCGATCGCAATGAGTGCTATTATTTGTTACTTATTAGATTATTTTTCCACAACATGATTTAAAACCCACAAAGTAAAAAGAGTACCATGTAGACGGCATGCCGTCGGGTCTCCTGCCATCGACTCTAAATATTCCACAAGGCTCTAAACCGAGGGAACACTTAGACAAGAGCCCTTCGGATGGCATCGTTCAAAGAACCGTGCCGTGAAAACCTGCCAGTACCTACCTTTTCTTACATGAAAGTTCGTGGAGCCCAAACTCGCCGACGCTGCTACCATAGCGGCACTGATGGGGTTGTTAAATCGCCGCTCCTAGTCGGATTCCCATGGCAATGCGCAAGCTTTCCCCATCAAGTAATGTGCAGAAATTGTTGGTGAAGCGTGTAACCATTGAGTAGGTCAGATTTATTTAAATATTTCTAAATTGTTAACCCCCGGAGAAACTGTCTGCCCTGTTGTGAGAATTTTTTATTATATATAATAAACACGCTGTAAAAATGGCAGATTAAATCAAACACTTTTTTGAAATTTTTGAAAATATAACTTTGGGGTAGTTTGACCCTATGTCAATCCCTTCAGAAGTGTCTGCAATTTTTTTTCTTAACTCTTTATCAACTTAGCTGACGGATAGTCATTATTATTGTTATATGAATCAAACACTTTTTTGTGGGCATATTTTTTGTGACTTACCTGTATTCGCAGTACCAGGTGTACCCAGGTAGGCCAGGCAAACAGTCAAATAACTGCTTATTGAGTGGACTGATACTTTTCAAAAAAGTTTCATGATGAATCAAACACTACATGAAAAATGCGTCATGAGCTCTCGGACCAATAGTGGTGAAGGCATAAGGTGTTCTCCCTGACCATGAGGTGTTCTCCATCTAATATGGACTACCCCTCAATGTTTCCAACTTTCTAAACTAATCAAAAGGAATTAAAGGAAGTAACAAATATTTCGATTATAAACGTGAACTATATTCATATATTCATTTGTTATCACCAGAAACACACCAACAGTAACAAATTAATTATTTCTCACAACTGTTTTCAATAATCTAAAATGACTACTTTGTTCGGAAAAATACGAGAGCCTATTTGCAATTAAAGAAATCAGATGTATTTAACAAAATGTAATAACGAACTAAAAGCTTTGTTGCAAGTACAAAAATATAATAACTAGAATTAAACAATATATTTTACACTGTGTAACATTTACATTTTATATAATCACATTTAGCTTATTAATTGCGATACTGTCATCTTCTAAATGTATTTGATTACATGTCAATAACCTGAAGCATGAGTTTCAGAGTTCGTTCCGATAATAATTGTTGCTTAATGTTTCATAAAACATTTCACAAAGAATCTATGACAATAGAATACAATGGACTGTATTAGTAGACCATTATTAACAAAATATAACACATCTTTGTACATTACAAAACAGTACAAAATTATGATCATAAAGCATGCTATTACTCACATAGACATAGGCTGAACTAAACTTGATCAAGATAAAATACAGTCGACTATTTTGAAACCTCTCATTAATGGTTTTACATTATCTTAACAAATGTTTTTCAGAAAACAAAATACACACCAAGTAAGTAAAATCAAGGCCGTTTGTTTTTGAGTTTATATAATAGTCTGCTTCGTGTTGAGGATTCACTAATTATATGTATGATGTTGATAAGTTTGAAATATGTATCACAATTAAGTTTGTAAACTAACTAACGAGGTGCTAGAGGCGGCCAGTGGGCAGTGTCGTGTGCGATACGATCGCTGGGCGATAGCAGTTGGCCGCAAGTCATACACACGTCCAGTTGGGAGCTGACATCCCTGCCCACAACTAACTCCTGTTGCTTTGCTATATCAGGCAAAAGTGCCACTAAATCTGGAAACAAGGACTCCATCTGGGAGCCCAAGGCTGATTCGCAGTGTTGATAGAACTCCTCGGCGCTTATGATGCTGTCTCGGAATGCTCTAGAGGCCACTTTGAAGTTTTCGACCGCAGAAGCATCCCCTAGAGCCGCAGCAAACTTTTTAACCAACGCTCGATTCCTCTGTTCAAAGTTAGGCGGTGGTATATAGGTGTGCACTGGGGCCGGAAATGTTTGGCCAGACGAGTTAGTAAAGGTCATGCCGTCACATTTCAATGGCGGCCTCGGTTTGAAGCCTGGTGGCACGCTGCCATTATGTAAGCTTTTTGCGGGAGCCTGATTTTCATTCTTTGGAGTAAGTGGTGGATAGTCCTTTGGCGCCATTGGAGTAAGTGGTGGATAGTCCTTTGGCGCCAAAGTGAAGTTTTGGTTGGCATTATTGCGACTTTTCTGAGTATTTCCCGTCGCTGTTGCAGGGGTATCTGTAACAGTCTTTATTTTCTTATCAGCCTCAACACTTTGATTGTTGCTGTTAACACTTGGGGTGATGTATGACAGATCGTTATTGTTGTCAATCAAACCATTCATATGGTTAGACTCGTAGAAGTTTTCCTTTTTGGAGGTATTGCTCTGTTTCTTCTTCTCCTTTTTATTCTTTACATTTTCGTTCTGTACAGTGGTGTTTATGGGAGTTACTTGAGGCTGGGATTTTTTTTGTTTTGATTTCGCCATATTAACTGGCAATGTTGGAAAATCAGCTACGGCGTTGAATGCGGGCCCTTTAGAGGGTGGAGTCGGAACCGTTTTCTGTTTCGGCTTTTCTTTTGATTTAGAAACGTTGATCCACTGTGGTGGAGCCGTGGGCGTAGACGTAGATGACAGTGCTGGGAAAGCTTCGGCGCTTAGGTTTGTTTTCTTCGGCTGGTTATGTATGTTGCTGTTTTTAAAGGCTTGCATTTCTTCGCTATTGATCATTGTGACCTTTAATGACATAAATACCAACATTAGAATCTCAATAAATTAATTTTTAAAATTAATTAAAAAGATGACGTTCTAAACTCACACACAAAAACAAAGTAGCCTAATAATGTCTAGCAGACTGAACAAATGACCACCCCCATACTTCTACATCATCAGCCTGAAAAAATCCAACGCAAGACATGAGCTTCTCCTATAGAAAGAAGAGGCCAGGAATCTATGGTTGATCAGTGTAGATCATGACAAGCAGTGTTGCTAGATTTGCATACTTAATCTATTTTAATTATGTGCACCAATTTCACACATTCTCTACATGTGTGATTGTGACTTACATGTATATTTTTTTTTATTATGTACGAGCAGTTATGCAGGTGTAGTGAGATCAGTATCACTGCGACTTAAAAGATCTATTGCGATCGCTGCTATGTCTACAGTTCACTGCTAAGCCCTACGTCCTCACTTAATTGAAGGCTAGCTAGCTGTGAGTGTCACTTCTTCTGGGCGAAGTACATAGTTTCCCAGATGAGTGCTGCGTTTTCGTATTAAGGGTCCGCAATTCGTCAGGATGTGTAAAAGCGTTTCCTCCTCTAGGGAGCAAAACCTGCACATCCTTAAGTTGCTTAGTCCCAGAATGGACATATGCTTTTTAAGACAATAGTGTCCAGTCAGGGCTCTTACCAGAATGCGCAATTTACATTACCTAATCCCACGCCTTCCGAAGCGAATTTACGATCGATAGACCGGGTTACAGTTTTAGAATGTTTTAAGCCTGGTGGCAGAGTTTCCAAGGTCAGTCGGGCGAGGCTTTTTGACATCCCACGTGGCTCGGGTCCAAATTTTGTACTCTTTGAGCCCTCCCGTGTGAGCTTGTCGGCAATTTCATTGCCTACAATATCCGCATGACCCGGAACCCATCTTAAAACGACCCTGTTGTAACCTCCCAAGGCATTTAGACGATTCACGCAGTTTCCAACTAGCTTCGAGTTCAGCTAGTTTATCTCAGTGCCAGCAGTGCTACTTTACTATCAGAGTTAATGTAGATTATATAGTTAACACATTGAGATATAATGTACTACGTACTAGAGAAGCTATTCCGAACAAAAACTGTGCACTACTCTATGTCTTCGCGCATGCGCGGTAAATAGTACAGTCGCGCATGCGCGGTTTTTGTCATCATAGATTATATACGTAGGTAGAATGGTCAGTATGTAATAAGTAAATGTTTATTTAGATTGTATTGTAAATTGTATCGAGTACAATTTTTTAAATTGTTATTTATATTGCATAATGTGTTAATATAATGTAACATAACATTATGTCAGAATTACATTTTAATTATATTTTATTTAATACTTTAAAAGGTAAATATGTAGAATATAAAAATATGCATTTATTTTCAAAGATCATTATTATTACTTTTCTAGCATTCTCTAACGTACTTATACGCAGCTGGTGAATAATAGTGTAAAATCAATGCGAATTTACGTAAAAGTGCATGCAGTGTATAATTAATAATGCGTGCTCTGTTTATTCTTTTTCGTTAAAGATTTATGTTACTCCATAACTTCTGCTTTACCCATTAAATCAATCTCAGCATTTAAGTTGAGACCGAATTTATGTTTCAAATTTTCTACAATTGATTTGTAAGAAGGACATTTTTTCTTTAGATAAATATTTTGTCTTAAATTTCTCAATAAGTTTCTTTCTAGCTGCAGATTCCTTGCTATTAAATACAAACACAATATTACAATATGCTTATATTTTATTCTTTTTGTAATAACCTAGAATTATTGATTCCGTTATTAAGGTAGAATACATCACTCAAACTTAGCTTAGGAGACATCACTTGCGTAATTTATTTTTAAGTATAATTTTGCTCGGACTATCTAAAATTGAATTTGTATTGCTTATTGATTCAGACAACGGTTCTGATACTTCCTGTTCACCACATTTTCTTGGCTGAAAAAAAGATACTAGTTATTTGGGAAGCCTGCAAAAATTCTAGTATTAAAAAACCGTCATATACTAGAATGACTCGCGCGCCGAGGTTTCCGCCTCTCTTAAGTCCCGTAAATATACTGAACATTACAAAACATTCGTTCGTAGTCTAATCAAAAAATAAATCAAAAATCCCAGCAATCTTATATAATTATATAATTACATTGTCGCATGGTACTGCTTATTTCTTGAAGTACACTCTTCCTGTTTTTGCGGTGTATTTGTCATTTTTTTTGAACTGCACGGAAAATATGCGTGAATAATCTGACGTTTCTTCGCTGCAATTCTTCTGAACAAATTTGATCCATGATTATTTTGTTTCATGACACAGCCGAGGAAACCATTAAATAAAAATAATAATAATAAATATTAATTTTAATGCATTAACATTTCCTACAGTGATTATATATAAATATTTTATTGTTCATAATTACTTAACATATACGTCGATAGTGTCAAGTCTGCGCATAAAAATATTTTACTCTTTGACATTCAAGTATACGTTGCAGTTGATAAAATATAATTAAATTAAGTGTGTTTTAAAGATAATAATAAGTTTAAATTACTGGTGAAAATTCACTCCTGACTTTTCCTTATATTTCTCGAGTAGTTTGAACAGTATCTCAATGCACACGAAGGCATATGAATTTAAAAATAATTCTTCACTCTAACTTCTCACGTTGCAACAACCGCTTGACACAGACTAAGTGAGTTTGAGAGCGCGCACTCTAACTCGTGTTACAAACAATCGAGTTGAGGCGTCTTCTCTAGTACGTAGTACATTATATCTCAATGAGTTAACATAGTGTTTTGCAGATTGATTTCGGCACACTGAAGTATGGCGAAAATTTCTACCTGGAAGATAGAGGTGAATCTACCCAAATTCATACTAAATTTGAATTTGGGGCGTTCTCCATAAATTACAAAGCCTATGTCGAGGCCCATTTTTGACCCGTCGGTATACCATATAAGGCTACCGAATTCACAGATGAACTGTCCATTCAGCCAGTCTTCTAGCGAGGGTAGTTCCACTGTATGCTTTTTGTTAGAAGTATATTGTGGACGCATGATATCTGAGATCATACAAAAGTCCGGTGTTTCCTTGATTGAGTCGAGCATGGGTCTCAATCTACAGGCAAGCCAAAAGGCACAAAGCTCTATTTCTTTATAGTCCAGCGCTTTTTCGACCCTGTCAATAACACTGATCAGAGCTGTTTCCGTAGATTTACTCTGCGGTAAGCATGCTAGTTGTAGTTTATAGGTCTCGTAGCTAGAGCTACATCCCTAATATATCAATCTATAACTTATTCCAATGTCTTAAGAAGAAAGGATGAAAGACTTATAGGTCTAAAGGACTTTTAAAGCGTAGTCCTTTCTACCAGCCTTAGGTATAAATAGAACTTTGACAGTTGTCCATTGTTCTGGAATATATCCCCGTGCAAAACTTGCTCTGAAGATTTTCACCAGATAAGGAAGAAGGATATCGATACCCCTTTGTAGATGGATGGATTCCATTCTCCCCTCTTATCTTAATGGTTTAAAGGAGTCAACAGCCCACTGCACCAGGTTTGGCCTTATTATCTTTGTAGCCCTACACCAGTCCTCATTACAAGACCTTCATAGGGCTCTGAAAGAATTCGAGGCTAGAGTCTTATGTGACCCTGGGAAATGGGTTGACGCTAGTAGATCCATTGTTTCCGTTTTACTATTAGTGAAGTTACCATCAGGCTTTTTAAGAAGACCGATCTGATTAGGTTAGCTTTGGGTAGCATTTTGTGCAGATTTGCACTGCGAAGCAAAGACTCAACTACCTCACATAGCTTCCTCCACAATGCTCTCTTAGCTTTCCTAATTTCACCTACATGTAGTAGAGTATTCGAGTTGAAATCGCGCCACGCTGAACGTGTAGTGCGTTATGCTGTTTTAATACTGATATAGATCAATTGCGTAAGCAAGAGAGCAAGTTGCTCTCACACTATGTTACATTTATTGATAACCTCTGAATTATTTGATACTTCATTTCAGAAGTGGGATAATTTCTAACACCGCTGATTACAATGTGGGTGGCTTACAAGAAAGAGTGAAAGACTTATTAAGCTAAACCAAAGCACTTTACCATCTTCGGCTATATTCGCTAGTGTCACTTATTTATTTATTCTTTATCATATACCCTATCATACAAGAATAAAAATGGCGAACTTAATGTCAACCCATTCAATCCACAATTTGATCTAGGTGTATCAACAGGAAGAAGAAAAAAAAATATAATTTGAAAGCAATTACACAAAATAATGATTACATTGGGGTAGAAGGTTAAGCCAGTGCTAATAATAAGTAAAAATATCCAATATTATAAATCACCTTTGGCGGTTGAGTAGTACCAGCACCAATGCTTGGGTGATCATCTCTTCCGATACTGAGGGAGGGGAAATCGTCGTCGCTCAACGGTGGCTGCTTCTTCTGCGCCGGTATCGATATACGGTTGCTACTTGTCTGCGTTATCCTGAAGTTGCTGGCGCTTGCCGGCTGACTGTGCAGTTGAATGGATACACTTGGTTTAGCTGTCGGTAAACAACATAATGATCCGATAAATAACTGAGTTGTACTGTTACTTAAATTGAAAATTAGATGATTAAGTTTTCGTTTATTATTTTTTATAACAAAACCGAGATTAAGTCTTAACATATTCTGTAGGTAATGCTATAAAAAGTAGTTTGTGCATTATTACATGTCGGTCATTATGACAAGGAATCAGTACTTTTTTAGGTTATTTTTATCGATTTGCTTAACCATCACGCTTGGTATGTCGATTTGTGGTCGCAGTACCATGTGGCATAAACAAATTCATCTATTGACCATCCATTCTATTCCGTTATATTATATGTGTCTGATTAAGAAAAATTTAAAAGAAAATATTTTTGTAAATCAGTTTCAATTTATGTAATCATATTTAATTTCTCGAGGATTTGTGGTTTATCAAATCGGATTTAAACGCGGAGGCCGTTTAGAATATGATCACAGACTGCTGATTTCCCAGAATGTTGGTGTTGTGTGTACATAGGCTGCACTAAAAGTATCGGGAATGGAATATTTCCACTGTTCCTGTCATATTAAAATATTTTTAATTGAAAACTCCTTGGTTTTAAAAATCGAATACCATTTATTTATTTAAAAAAAGATTCTCCGTCTTGCCACAAGGTTTCATCAAACTTGTTTAGTCGTTGAGAAAATGGAATTGACTCGAGAAAATTCAAGAGCGATGATTTATTCTGAGTTTCGAAGTGGTTTTACACAAAAACCATTTGGTGATGAAGCCCCATCAAAAACCACAATTTATCGCTGGTTTGCTGAATTTCAACGTGGACGTGTCAAGCTCAGTGATGATCCCCGTCAAGGTCGTCCAAAAACTGCAGTGACCCAAGAAAACGTTGATGCTGTGCGTAAGCTTTTAACAGTGGTAGAGCCACGCGGCAGCTTTTGCTGTCGCACGGATGGGCCGGCTCGAACCGGGGTAGTACCACGACCTCACAGAAAACCAGCGTGAAGTAGAGGTTTACCTCTGCGTTTCGCTTGGTGAGTGCAGTTGGCCGGAGTGCAGTTTTTACTGGAAATGAGGCATTCCATCTTAGTCCTCACGGGTGACAACGCATCTACATTTTGATTTGTAACAGAGGATAGATGTAGATGTCTATGGGCCGCAGCAACAACTTACCATCAGGTGGACTGTGTGCTCGTTCGTCACCCTTATCCTATAAAAAAAAAAGCTGATTGAGGAAGATCGACATGACATACGGCGAAATTCAGGCAACTTTAGACATTGGCATGAGTCAAATACAAATAATCTTGCATGAACAATTAGGTGTAAAAAAGTTATTTTCCCGATGGATACCGCATTCGCTCTGTGAAGAGCAAAAAGCGGCTCGCGTTACTTGGTGCGTCAGAACTCTCGAAAGATTCCACGCAGGATCCTCAAATGCTGTATACAACATCGTATCAGGTGACGAATCCTGGATATACGCGTACGAACCCGAAACAAAAAACCAGTCACGGGTTTGGGTGTTCGAAAATGAGTTAAACGGAGTGTTGCAAAACAAATGGTGGCCACGTTTGTCTCCAAAACCGGCCATGTTACGACTATCCCTCTTGAGGGACAAAGAACGGTTAATGCAGAATGATATGCTAGCATTTGTTTTCCAGAGGTCGTTTCTGAACTCCGTAAAGAGAACTGCAACCGCCGCATCATCCTCCATCACGACAATGCGAGTTCTCACACCGCACACAGAACAAAAGAGTTTTTAGAGCAAGAAAACATAGAATTATTAGACCATCCGCCGTACAGCCCCGAACTAGGCCCTAATGATTTCTATATTTTCCCTAAAATAAAGAATAAATTGCGTGAACAGAGATTTTCATCACCTGAAGAAGCTGTGGACGCCTACAAAACGGCCATTTTGGAGAACCCAACTTCCGAATGGAACGGTTGCTTCAATGATTGGTTCCATCGTATGTAAAAATGTGTCAAATTTCGCGGAGAATACTTCGAAAAGCTATAAATACATTTTTAAATAGTAATGTTGCGTCACTTCCTTGATTCCCGAAATTTTCAGTGCCGCCCTCGTATGTAGTGTTCACGTAAATATAAGAAATAATGTTGTCGTGAATACGTCTTTTAATGAGGGCTAATAATTTTCTGCTCACCAGATGTCGCTAGTTAGACATAGACATGCATTTATTCAGCAACTTACACTCGTACAGTTTTGATACAGAAAATAAAATGATACATAAAAACATCAAAGATAAAAGTAAATAACAAAAAACCGTCATAAAATGATCCGATTGCATGAGTGATGTGATGCTGACAAGGGCACTGACTCAACATAATGCTATTGCAGGATTGCGGTAGCGTTGGTTTTCAGCAATGCCCATTGAGGTTGGACTCGCCCGCGAGGATAGTATGTTCGCTTTATTTTTATTTTCGAGAAAGATGTTATTAAAATAATAAAATAAAATAATGGAAATGAAAAAGGATAGGAACTTTATTTATGCAGTAGGTATATTATATTATTTATTATATAAATGTATATAATAAATAATATAATGAGTATTTACAATAAAACAATATAGATATTTATATTATGCTATGAAAATATAATGCAGCTATTTTATCTGCCCTAAATGTTAAACTGACAAAAATATTATTTTACTTTTACCTTGAAAAGGCTGATGATATTTAGTTGGCGGATAGGTGGGGGCAAGTTGTTCCAGCATTTAGTAGCTGCATATCGGAAACTACCGCGGAATGCTGCCGTTGTGTGTTTTGGTATTAAAAGGACAAGTTATTTTTGTAACAAAATTTAATTTAATTGAGAAGTTGTTGTTTAATAAAAGTTTATCGGTTTCTAGAGTATTATATTAAGGGGCTACTCCATGCGAACGACCTTGAGCATTTGACCGGCGCGCCGTTTGCTACAATATTAATATATTGTAGCGAGCGGCTCGCCGGAAGAAATATGTAAGACGCCACCTATTGTACGAAAGTAGTATTATTTTTTCAACATCAATAAACTGTTTTATGGAAATACACATAGCGTACAAAGATAAATGTATTTTAATTTTTTTATTCTGTATATATTAGTTGCATTATATTAGAATTATGTATTTTCATATATTATCTAATTATGAAATTTTATAATTAATTATATAAACGGAAGCATTGAAAATTGTGAGTTTAAAAGATACCTATTCACTATAGGTAAATAAATAGATAACTCGGCTTTTGTACAAATATTTGGTGCAATAAAAAATTTATAAATACAAAAATCAACAAGAAGTATAAGGGTTCAATCTTTCAATTTCAGTTGTAAAAAAACGTTACACCCACACTAGGATTTTCTCCTGTGTCGTGGAGGCAGTTTACAAACATAAATTGCACAAAGACAAACATCCAGACCCGGAACAATTATTTGTAGGCCATACAAATCTTGTTCCATGCGGCATTCGAACCCGCGGCCCCCAGCGCAACAACTGATTGCTAAGCCACTGCGCCACCATGAAGCTAATACAAAGACTAACTTTGTATTTGCTTCATGGTCGCCGGGTTATAGCTAAAGTGACCATACGTCCCGTTTTGAACGGGACTGTCCCTTTTCTCGGTCTCCTGTCCCATTGTCCCCAAACAAAGCACCGGGACTCAAAATTGTCCCGTAACTCGTTGGATGGAAGTATTCATAGTCAACAATCTTCAACATAATTTTTTTTAATCGAATATATTTTATGTCTACCTGGTACGAATGCTCCGGTAGAAAGAGTATTTTTTTATTTTGCATAAATTGTGGACGTCTGAAAGAAACACTTACGGTTCCAGAGTTCTAAAGGCGATGTTGTTAACAAAGATAACAATAAAAAACTTGAGCTGAATTTTATTCTTATTTAAAATCATCACCAACTTTATTAAAGCAAATTTAATCCACTGACAAATGTAATTAATAATTAAAAAAAATATGTTGCATTTAATAATTACCGTCTATACCGAATATAATTTTATAGTGAACACTAATTGTATAAAGTTATAGTTTTTAGAGTATAAATAAACCCATGTCCTGTTATGAGTTAAAAAATAAATGGTCAGCTTAGTCTTTTTAGTTAAATTTAGTTTTAAAAATTTTTAGTTTATAGTAAAAAGTAGGTATATTAGTACTTTTTACCGAGATATAAGTATAGAACACCTTATGTACTCAATTATTTTTTGAAAAAGAAGAAAAAACAAGCAATAAATAATATACTATATTTTAGCAAAAAACTATAACTTAGTAATACTAATTATAACTTAGAACATAAATGAAAAACTCATAACTGACTTTTTGGCCCGACCCAGGATTCGAACCCGGGACCTCATGATCAGCAGTCGCACTACTACAACCACTAGACCAACGAGGCAGTACTATACCTGATAAGATATTGTGGTTGGGTGATAATATTGAATTAGCCTTTTATAGTGTAAATTATAATATTTGTCGAAATTTTAATTATGGATTCGAACCTTACATGCTAATGGTGCTTCATTTTTTTATTTGCATTTACTTCAAAGAAAATACACGCAAAAATCTTCATCGCGCAGTAAAAAACACAACAAATATATGTATAACTAATACGAAAAATTATACCCAAAACAAACAAATAATACTACCTATAAATAACCTAATAAGTAATAATATTATAGACTCATATGACGTGGCGTATGCGTCGGTCGACGCTCTAACGACACGGGCTTCACGTCGAAGAGCTCAGCGCTCACTGACTTCATCAAGCCCGTGAGCAGTATATACGCCCAGATTTTAAAATAATTTCTTAATAAAATCAAATTTTGGTCTTTTGAAAAAAATTTTACTATAGAAATGTTCATTAATAAATTGCCTATCCATTGGTGTAAATCGCAAAACAAAATAATACTTACTTTACGAGGAGATGCATGTTATCAATAATAATTTCACATTTATGTGGTTTCGTTGTAAGGAGATTATATTAATATTTATTCCTTTAAAAAAAAATTGGATATAGCTTTTATGGAATCAAGATTATGTAGAAATATAATGTGTTTTTTATTTGTTGATATATCTTTTAAATAAAAAGTAGATAGCTCCTAAAAACCGCCCAAATAACGACTAGCGTGACATTTTGCTCAACCTGCGCCTTAATACACAGAACAATGCGTCAGTGGTTTGCTTTTAAATGTTTGCACTTTTTTAACTTTTTTTTATTTTTCTACTTTTTTGAATATCTGTGGTTTTTTTTGTTTTTAATGTTAATAATATAAAATATAGCTAATAGTGCAGAAAGAGACGATAACCTTTACATTTTTCGAACAAATTAACTTCCCCATCATGAAATCTGTCAAATATTATACCTCACTTTCTAGTTGCGCCGCCCTGGTGGAAGAAAAAGTCGTGGATGCCCCCTCATTTGCGTCCATAGTGGGAGGCGATTCAGAAAACTGATGATAACAAAATTGGGGGATACAGTTCGGTGTTGCTGCTACATATCTATCATCTACACATAAAATTTAAATACACCACTCGGCAGCTATAGGATAAAAAAACATGTGTGCAGTTCACATGCGGCAGGAGTGAAACAAATCACAACGAATCTAAAAAAGGTGTTCACTTCAAAAATTCGTTACGTTGAGTGAGGACTGGGCAGCATCGCGCGCGGCAGACGCGGGAGCGCCGCCATTTTGAAGTTATTTCGCTGCGTCACATTTGCCGTTTAGTAAAAGTTATGACGTCACGTACACGCAAAACAATCCATTCACGTAAAACAGACGGCCGAGTTCACGACACAGGCGCACCCAGATGGTTCAGTTAAAGTGAATACGCACAGTTGCGGAGCACCGCGGCGGCCGCGGGCGCGCTGCTGCGGGCGGGCGCAGCGGGCCGCGACGGCCCCGCTCCGCCTTCCAGCGCGGGGAAGTTCTTGTCGTTGCGGGTCAAACCTTCCGCACCTATACACACAAAACACACTTGGATAATCGATGCCATATACACATAATAACATTGATGTGTCTGTAATACTGATAACTGACTTCTATTATGCTCAAGGGGTTCATTCATACAATGCCCAATGTCGAGCATAAATGCAGACGTCTATGAGCCACAACAACCCCTTAACATCAGATGGACTGTGTGTGTACTTGTTTCTCACCCTGAATCTATTTAAAAAAAACTTGTTGGAAGTTATCCATTCACTACAGTAGCCACTTACCAACCGGTTAACTATAAATTCCTTTGCTACTTTAATTTAAAAAAAAAGGAAAAGATACCCACTACTACAACTCATAACCATGTTTGTTACCTTTATAAGATCTAGTTGGTCCAAGCATAAGATTGGCAGGTGGTGGAGCAGTAGAGAGACGAGGAAATTGTTCGTCACTGCGAGTGTCGATTCGGGGCGCGGGGGGCGGCGTGCTAACTGGAGGCGGCTCCGCCCTTTCCCTGTATTAACAAAAAGCAATACAATTATAATTAAGCTCAGTGGCCAGCCCAATTTTTTTACAGGCATCTTCATAGCTACCCTAACGACAAGTTCTTTTAAACATGCTTGTTTGCATTAACTTGATTTCTTGTATTATCTTGATGACTGTCTCGTTGGTCTAGTGAGACTGCTGATCATGAGAACCAGGGTTCGAATCCCGGGTATTGCCAAAATAAAATCAGTTATTGAGCTTTTTTATCAAGAAATTCTCAATAGCTGCCCGGAGTCAGGAAGTTGGTGGTTTCTCACCCCCGTGTCTCGGAAAGCACGTAAAGCCGTTACGCCTGATCTCTTTCCAGTCGTGTCAGTTTACCTGTGCTTGTGCATACACTTGGTGAACATAATCCTGTCCTACGCCGATGGCTAGTCCGTTGAGGCTGGACGCCGTGTTGGACATTTTTAACTTGATATGTACATATGTATGTACATATATACATATACTTATGTATGTATGTAATAAATTTTATAATAGAGTATTACAACTATTTTCAAACAATGTTATAAATGAATCCTAGAAGAAATAATGAATCACTACAATTTATATATAATTTTTTAAACCGAATAGTGTCATAAACATTACTTTTTATTTATCGTTTTAAATTTTCACGCGGAAACATTAGCCGCCATGATGTAGAGTTCGTGACGTCACTATCTTAGTAAATATTTTGCAAAGAAATAAGACATTTTTGGATGTTTAATAATGAGTTATCATCTTTATCATTGGTGTGTTGCACCTGAATGCAAAATACGACCATAAGAATAAAGGGAGAATTTATGGATTCAAATGCCATCTGATTTAAATAAGAGAAATACTTGGTTAAAATAGGCAAGAAGAGTCCCGAAGACACTGTCTACAAAAACTATATTATCTTCTCTCTGAAGATCATTTTGATGTAAGTATGGCTTATATTTAACTATCGTTTACACAAAACAAAATATCATGAGGTGATAGGTATCGCAAGTCAAATTTTGTAATAGATTAGGCAATCTTAGATATAACTAATGACTGCTAATGATTTTAATCATAGACAAACATAACCATGTATTATAATAAGTGGTAAAATTAAAAATTTTGTACAACCGACTTCAATATTAATTATTAAGGATAACTCAAAAACTACTGGTCAGACCTTAATCAAAGTTATATGGCACCACATGAGAAGCACCAGTTTTCATATAAAAAAGAATCATCTAAATCAGTCCACCAAGAAAAAAGTAATGAGGTAACACACATAAAGTCGACTTTCAAATAAAAAAAAGAATCATCGAAATCGGTTCGTCAAGAAAAAGTTATGAAGTAACACACATAAAAAAAACATAGTCGAATTGAATACCTCCCCACTTTTTGAAGTCGGTAGAAAAGACACTTTGACCTGGTATTATGTTACTGTAAAACAAAAGTTGGTAATAGATATTTAAATTGAAGTTTTACGATTACTCAACTCGAAGAACAAAAATCGGGATTGCATGCAAAAAATTTTGCCACCATCAATGTTTATATTTATCCTTGGTAGATTAATGCTTTCTGCTTTTACGAATCCGTCTTCCATGATGCCATTTCAATAAAATACGGAATAAAAGTCAACAAACGTGATGATAACTTGAAAAATTTCGAAATAACTTCTTTAAAGTGACGTCACGACGAAATTTAATATGACGGATAGCGTTTTGGAGATTTGAGACATGCATTTTTATAAATAGAAATCAACATTTCTCGTTTACTTTTTAAGAAAACCTATCATAAATATGTATTATTTTTTTTTACATGGAACAAAATACCCTATTCAGTTTACACTCACTTCCGGACCAAATTCAATTACTGAATAATCTGAAATTTTACTGATGTACATTAATTTAATACAATAAGTTTCTGACAATGACTTATTATTCTCAATAAGACAATTTACAAATCATTATTTAAGTTTTTAAGCTCTAATATAATTTCAACAAAATATATATGTAGTTTATAATTAAACGACTGGTCGCTAAAGAAAAACATGTCAGTAATTAATTCAGGAATAGACGGCTCGTACTACAGTGGCTAAGCGTTTGGCTGAAGCGCTGTGGGGAAGTGGATTCGAATCCCGTACGAACAAGTGTTTTTATGACGTACGAATTATTTTTTCGGGTAATAATAAAAATATGTTAATCCAACACGCCAGATCGACGTTATATTATATATTATTTAATAATCTGCTTGCTACCTAATTAAAAATCACGCTAAATTAATATAGCATCTCCAAATCTCCGTAAATATACATACCTGGGTGCCCTTTGTACAACGGGATGCGGTGTGATGTTAAATTGCAATTCCAGTGTCCTCGCTTGTCGAGCCGCGCCACGGGTCATTCCTTTACCATGTACAGTAGCCTTGTGTGCTAGAATGATGACCAAACACAAGCTGTTTTAGTTAACAAATGAAAAATGAACTATCATAAAAAAAAACTATCGTAAATTGTAGCTACAGGTATTTTTTGAACATACAAAAACAACAACATAGAATTAAATTTTACCTAATTAAAATTTTAATTTCTTTTGATATAAAACTGAAGTGACAGACGAACTGCTTGCACACATGATGGTAAATAATAAAAACAAACAATGAAGACTATAGATGTGTTATGCACCTTAGGTAAGAGGGTAGAACCTACCCAGAAGATATGTGATTTTTTTTAAATTGTTGAGTATAACAATTTGAATTTCAGAATGTAATAAAAATAATAAATCTGGGGGCACGGCAGTGCCCCTGCCAAGTCGAGCAAAAAAGCGGCACGGCCGTACCATTCTTTTCTCGAAGCAGTTCAGGCCATTTTCGAAACCCTATAACTTCGTTGTGGATAAAACTAGAAGCCTGAATTTTCAGATACCAAGTAGGCATTGTATAAACTCAGTATATTTCAAATTTCATTAAATTTGAATCAGTCGTTTAAGAATTATAGCTAGTCAAAGTTTCTTAATTTTGTCACTCACTGACTGACCGCTCATCAAAACTCTAAGGCACTTCTAACAGACATAGAAGCTTCAAACTTGGAACACAATTATTGTTTAGTATATAAATCAAGAAAAAATTAACAAATTTTGGAATTTCCGTACTTTTCGAGATACACCAACTGCATAAATAACTTTACAAATATATAGGATTACAAAGTTACATTTGCAGTGAATAAATCTGCACCTGTATAATATGTATAATATAATGGAATAATAGGTGTAGATAGGTACCTAGATACAACTTTCTACAAAAAGAAATGAGATGCCATCAACAACATAACTTGTAAAAAAACCAAGTCTCGCAACTCAGTTCTTCTACCGTAAAAAGTTGTGAGATCCATGTAATACCAAGTTGGTTAATTTATTCAGTCCCTACTTAAGGGTACTTCTCTCTTAAGTTATTATGTAATTAGCTAACCTAACAACATCTATAGTGACCATATCAATATTACCTTTTATGTTTTAAAAAAATAAATTGACTTGGCAATCGCATTAAACAATCTTAGTTAATATAATATATATTATTTGAGAGATACATTGTGTTTTCATGCGATGGCCAAGGCAATCTATTTATTTAAAATATAAAAGATTTTCAGTATTGGTGTAGTCACTATAAGATGTTGTTAGGTTAGCTAATTACATAATAACTTAAGAGAGAAGTACCCTTAAGTAGGGACTGAATAAATTAACCAACTTGGTATTACATGGATCTGACAACTTTTTACGGTAGAAGAACTGAGTTGCGAGACTTGGTTTTTTTACAAGTTATGTTTTTGATGGCATTATGATTTTATCGACCATTAACACATAATTACAGCCTGTAAGAAGTTAAAGAAGTTAAAATACTCGGCCAGGGGGTTGGTAACAGAAATTTGTAATTTTTATTTAGCCATTATAAAAACATTCCAGTATCTTAAGTCATCACGCATCCTAATTTCCAATTTCAAATAATTCAAGATGGAGTAATGTCTCTATTAAGCTAACTCTGTGAGTTTAAGAATTATTACTAATATTTCCAATCACTAATAATTAGTAAAATTATATTCAAGACAAGTAAGTACCTTTGTTAAAATATAAAAGTAAACATTTGTATTTGAACAAATACAAATGTTATGTGAGAAAAAAAATTATATGAGTAAAAACAATGTTCATAAACAAAGTACACAAAATAGGCTCACCTTTGAGATCAATTTCACTTCTAAATACTGCAGTCAAATGTTGTTCAGCACATTCACCTTCTTCACATAGATAGTGATCGGTACGAAAATGGTGCGCAAGAGCTGAATGCGACGCGTAATATAAGTTCCTTCCATCCGCATCACAGAGATGGCAGTAGAGATGCTCCTTACGTAGATGCCGATAAAGCTCGTCAGCATCCATAAATCTCTCCTCGCAGAATTCGCAGAGAGGGTGACCCCTATGTATGATAACTATCAGAAATTAACCAAAAGATAACACACACAAACTTAACTTCTTTTATTTCAAGTATGCATGGCCACCATGCAGAATCTGGATTCAAATCTTAAGCTGAGCCAATATTTTGTATTGTATTGAGTGAATGTGCACATATACTTGTGGTTGTGGCACAACGGTATTCGTAAGTTTGGCCCAAAGATCAAAGGGTCTTTATACAAGTTTTGAGATTTCTGATAATGCAGTATAATATGTAATACTTTAATTACTTTATTGCATGTGATAGTTTTTTTTTTATAGGATAGGGTGACCAATGAACACACAGTCCACCTGAAGGTAAGTGGTTGCTGTGGCTCATAGACATCTACATCTATCCTCGTTTGCGAATCAAAATGCAGATGCGTTGTCACCCGTGAGGACTAAGATGGAATGCCTCTTTTCCAGTAAAAAGGGTCTCCGGTTCTTTACACTCACTATACGAAACACAGCAGCATTAAGCTGCTATTTTATGCTGGTATTCTGTGAGAGCATGGTCCTTCCCCGGTCGAGCCAACCCATTCGTGCTACAACTATACTACTAATATAGCTGCATGGCTCTACCACGTAAGTACCACATAGAAGTTTATTGTTTGTGACACGCATACACACATCATACAGTCATAATATTATCTCATTGTCTAGTAGCAAACATTTAAAAATAACAATCTTCCCGAATGCACTTCTATACCTATGTGAAAACCTGCAAAAAATGGTGAGTTGTTGTACGCACACCAGCTAATGTTCCTAATCATCATCACAATGTGTGCCGAGCTCGGCAAATATATTCTAAAGGCTTCTTATAGTTACCAGATTCTTTTGGTCAGTCTAAATAAGAATTTAATTTGTTATATGAAACTTGCAGCATAGTGGCGGTGTAAGAAAATCCACTACCATATTTCATTCTGTGAGTGTCATAAGGGAACGACAAAGGGAAACGAAACAGGTACAGGCAGCATCTTCCTTATAACAAAATAAAAACAAAATAGTCCACCTGCAAAGTGTAGCGACTATGGCAAATATCCTTCCTTTGAGGAGAGGCCTATGTTCAACTGTTGATTTTTTATAGGTTGTAATGAATGATAATTGAAAAACTTATCAAGCAACTTAAAAAAAGTCTAATGTGATGTGAAGACCGACTCATCGACCACGTCCAAATGGCTACAGGTTCCTTGCTACAACAGGTCCCAACCGCAGAGATCGTGATCCTTGGCGATTTTAACACCCACCGCGCCGAATGGCTCGGTTCACGTTTAACCGATCATGCGGGGAGATCTGTTTATGACTTTGCCTTGGTATATGGTCTGACACAACTGGTTACTTCGCCTACGCGGATTCCAGATGTGGAGGATCATACACCTCCCTGTTGGACCTTCTGCTGAACTCTCATCTGGACGGATATCAGGTTTCCGTCGATGCCCCTCTCGGCTCTTCAGACCATTGTCTGATCCGGAGTGTGGTGCCACTCACGCTCCCTTCGCGGTTGCGTTCTGCAGGTTGCCGCCGTGTTTGGCATTACAGGTCGGCGGATTGGGACGGAATGCGGTCTTTCTTTGCATCCTACCCATGGGGGCGGGTTTGCTTCTCGCCGGACGATCCCAGCGCTGTTGCTGACTCTGTCACTGATGTGGTGCTACAGGGAATGGAACTATTTATTCCATCATCTGTGGTACCCATCGGAGGCAGATCTCAGCCTTGGTTTGGTCGCTCCTGTAAGACTGCATTACGCAGTAAGCAGGAGTGTTTTCAAGCCTGGGCTGCGGCTTCGGCGACTCGGGATGTAAACACCAGCACACTTAAAAAGAAGTATAACTTCGCCTCCAGGTCCTTCAAAAGAGTTATTGCCAAGGCAAAGTCAGAGCACATAGGCAGAATTGGCGAGAAACTAGTTCGCCTTCCTTCGGGAACCCGTGCATTCTGGTCTCTCGCCAAGGCTGTCCAAGGGAATTTCTGTAAGCCATCACTACCATCTCTGCACAGGGAGGACGACTCACTGGCCCAAGACGCAAAAGACAAAGCTGACCTTTTAGGCTCCCTTTTTGCGTCCAACTCGACTCTTGATGACGGGGGAAAACACCGCCAACCATCCCGCAGTGTGAGTGCTCCATGCTGGATGTGCTGTTCTCACAGCGCACCCGATCCCTAAAAAAGGCGACCGCTCAGACCCGTCCAACTATAGGCCTATCGAATTCACCTCCTTGTTCTCCAAAATAATGGAATCCATTATTAACTGCCAGCTCATCCGGTACCTTGAGGATCACCAGCTGATTAGTGACCGCCAATACGGTTTTCATCGGGGTCGATCAGCTGGTGATCTTCTGGTCTACCTGACCCATAGATGGGCGGAGGCAGTAGAGTCCAAGGGGGAGGCGTTGGCCGTTAGTCTGGACATTGCGAAGGCCTTCGATCGGGTTTGGCACAAAGCGCTTCTTTCGAAGCTCCCTTCCTATGGGCTTCCCGACAAATTGTGCAATTGGATCACCAGCTTCCTTGCAGATCGGAGCATCAAGGTTGTTGTAGACGGTGCATGTTCTGACTACAAGCCTATTTACGCTGGTGTTGCACAAGGCTGTTTGCTATCACCAACGCTGTTTCTTCTGCATGTCAATGATATGTTGCTAACTGGTAACATTCATTGCTATGCGGATGACAGCACTGGTGATGCTCTATACACCGGTCGTGCCAATATTTCTCGGGAAAACGTCGCCGAGTACCGGAACAAACTTGTGTCTGAAGTCGAGTCTTTGCTGAACAAAGTCTAGGATTGGGGGCGACTAAATCTAGTACAGTTTAATCCTCAGAAGACACAAGTTTGCGCGTTTACTGCTAAAAAGAACCCCTTTGTCGTATCTCCTCAGTTTCAAGGCACTCCCCTTCTTGCCTCAGCCAGTATCGGTATCCTCGGAGTCGACATATCGAGTGACGTGCAGTTTCGTGGTCACTTGGAAGAGAAGGCCAAATTGGCCTCTAAAAAGCTTGGCGTGCTCAGCAGAGCGGGACAGTATTTCATGCCGGCACACCGCCTGCAACTTTACAAGGCGCAGGTTCGGCCTCACATGGAATACTGTTCCCATCTCTGGGCAGGGGCTCCCCAGTGCCAGCTCCTTCCACTTGACCGCATCCAGCGCAGAGCGGCTCGAATCGTCGACGACCGAGCCCTTTCCGATCGGCTCGATTCATTGGCACTGCGAAGAGATGTTGCATCCCTTTGCATTTTCTTTCGCATCTACCATGGGGAGTGCTCTGAGGAATTGTTCGGATTCATCCCAGCCGACAAATTTCACGAACGCACATCGCGGCAGAACTTCCGATACCATCCACACCATCTGGATGATTGGCGGTCCACCACTGTGCGATTTAGAAGATGTTTTCTTCCTCGCACGACTTCCTTGTGTCTCGATCGATTACCATCAGCGATTTTTCCGGACCGATACGACTTAGGGACCTTCAAGAAAAGAGCGTACTCCTTTTTAAAAGGCCGGCAACGCATCTGCAATTCCCTCCCTGGTGTTACAGTTGTTCATGGGCGGCGGTAGTCACTTACCATCAGGTGAGCCGCATGGCCGTTTTCCCCCTCTCCTATAAAAAAAAATTATATTTTTTTCACTTTGTAAATATTTAACTACATTTGATTTACACCAATTTGTTAATGTATGTCTAATTACAGAAATTAGTTAATGTATTTGTTTTTAAACTTATTTAAATTGTAATAGATCGTTTTCGTAATTATAATAATATTATTTATTTTTCATTAAAAACTATCTCTTAATGACTTAAAAAACGTACATATGTATCTTTTTTCATAATTATATATAATTACTATTAACAAAGTAAACTTCGTTAATATAAACTTATTATAATTTATATTGATAAAGTTTCCGTATGTGCGAAGGAAAGAACATGAAAAAGATAAAATATCTTTGTAAACAATGTTATTCCTTGCTCCGTTTGTAGCTATAATATATAAATTATCTGGGTTAGTAAAGCCAGAGCAAGCGACGTACAGTTGACCGTGTGAAAAACTCCATGTAAAAATAGTTGTTTCTTAAGACTTTAATAACTTTATGTTAAAGGAAGATATCACAATATTTTTTTTAAATAAGGGCCATGCAATGAAATAAAACTTAGAAAATCTAATTGAAATCTATTCAGTAGTTTTTCCATGATGTGCACACAACTGCAAACCTCTATAATTTTATTTATATATAGAAGAAGAAGATAACTCTTAAGTTCACTTCTAACTAAATTGCCAAAGCTATGTAATAAAATAAAAAAAATACATCTAAATTTTGAAACAGCTTCAACTGAAGCACATGTCCTCGCTTCTTACTTCTCACTTCTCTGGCAAATTATACTAAGATGGCTATATGTTGCGGACAAGACATGTTCATATCACACCTTTGCCTCAACCCAACTGGACAATGTTTGTTACATTACAACACATCTCATCACATTTACCTCAAAACTTTTCTACCACTTCCAGTATTCTATAAATAATCAAATGGAACAACTTGGTCAATTTTTTTTTGTAGGAATAGGGTGACAAACGAGGACACAGTCCACCTGATGGTAAGTGGTTGCTGTGACCCATAGACATCTACATTTATCCTTGTTTGCAAATCAAAATGCAGATGCGTTGTCACCCGTGAGGAGTAAGTTAGAATGCCTCTTTTCCAGTAAAAAGGGTCTCCGGTTCTCTACACTCACCCTATGAAACACAGCAGTGTTAAATTGCTATTTTATGCTGGTATTCTGTGAGAGCGTGGTCCTTCCCCGTTCAAGTCAACCCATTCGTGCTACAACTATGCTACTAATATTGCTGCAGCATGGCTCTACCACATTGAAGTATTACATTTAAGAAGTAGTAACTCAAGGGTTAAATCATCCCCATAAACTTTACAGTGTGGGAGTAACCCTGGTTCGATCAGTTTCATTTGTTCCGCCAGCACTTATGAAGTGTAATTTTATACAGGGTTATTTTTCAATAACTGGTAAAGGTTTAGAACAAGTAATATGGGCAAATGGTGAAGAAAAATTAATTTAAAAAAAATTGTAACATCCTGTCCTTTTTACCATTTTAATTCAAAGCATGGTAATGCATTATTTTAACTGCATTTACTACGAATGCACAAATTTTTAAGGGTTCATCAGTAGGCAAAAATGTTGTTGCCCAACATTCAATTTGGGATAACCTATAGAAATAAATAAAATTGAAGTGTCTGTTTGTAATGTCAAAATAACAGCTTTTTACCAATCGCATATAAAATTGTATATGGTACTTAGAACATTAACACAATTTTTACCATTTTTGTTATGTCAGTCTGTTTGTTCCGACTAATCTTCAAAACGGCTGGACCGATTTTGACGGGACTTTCACTGGTAGATATCTCATGTTAGAAGAAGTAACTTAGGCTACTTAAATTTTAGAAAAATTATTAGGGTTCCGCGCAACATAATTAAAACCCTAAATTACACGCGGACGAAGTTGCGGGGAACAGCTAGTTTCAAATAAAAGTAGCAGCCTTATTTACTCTCTATTTTCAAAAACAGCAATAACAGTATATCATTATTTATACACTTTAAAAAATAACCCTGTACATAAACCTGAAAATGTTTCGAAGAAATTTGCAAATCTGAAGAATAAAATATTTTAAGAATGTGTGATTTCTGCGAACACACACTGCTGAACGAATTGCTCCATAACTCTCACTGACATGAGGGACACCTCTGTCCAGCAGTGGGATGTATATAGGCTTAAACTGTACTGAAATATTAATATTAAATACTCGAATGAAATGTAACAAAAATGAAATATAATAAACACAAATAAAACAATATCATGGGTGGCACAAATTGTAGTCTTACGCTTCTTTTTTAGGGTTATTTAAAATAAAATTTAAATATTCTAACTGAGAACTAGCAAATAGAATATTATTTAATACTGTATAAATCAACAATCATTACCTGTGAGATGTGTCATCAAGGTCTCCTTTCCGTCGATGGTGTGCTAGTTCTTGGCGTGTATAGCATCTCCTTTCACTAGTAAATATCTAAAAAATCCATATTCATTAAGAATTAAAAGAAAAAAAACGACATACGATATTACTGATATCATTATCATTATCATCATCTACACTCTATAGTATCAGATTATGGGACTGTGTACAAATTATTGTTTTATAATACATTTCAGCCCATCAAAAGTCCACTGCTATACATAGGCCTCCCCCATAAATTGCATTAATATTATAGTACCTGGCTCCTTTTTATAATAAGGTGGATTGTACTTTTTACATCCTGCCATAATGCCATCATTTTTTTAAATTATATTGGACTACTTGTTTGTCAAAATTTTATATTTACATCAGTGTCCTTTTTATTACATAAATGATTTAAAAAAAAGTGATTAAATGAATATACAACACTAACTCTCCTTTTTCACATCTTGGTCAAAAAAATAAGGACTGTCTAACCTTTTGATGTAAATATTATACTTTTGATAAAATATTTAGCTCATATAAAGTAAAAAATTAAGTAAATATTATTGATATATAGCAAAAATTATAAATAATATCTGTATGTATTATATATGGGTTAAATAAACTAATTTGATTTATATTAAATCATTCCTTACCTTCAAATGTTTAACACAAAGGTCACAGTAATAACGCTCATGCAACCTTCTCATGTGATCACTCAACATAGTAAATGTACGGAAAGGTGGAATTTTTTCACAGATTTTACAGCGATGTTCCAGTAATTTTTCATATGCATTTTTTATTTCCTCACTACAGAACCCAATCTTGAACTGTCTTTCAAACAATCTATCACTAAACACCCTGTTACGAAGCTCCTTATAAGGTTGGATGGATTCAGTAAACACAACCTAAAAACAAACTTAGTGTTGACAACATATTCAATATTTAAGTTTTATTGCAAATTATTGCAATTTTCATTTCTTTTATGAAACCAATTGTAGTAATAAAAGTCCTTAAACAAAATATTAAGAATTTGCGACATTGCGAGAAAAAAACATACATTTAAGTGGAAATTAGGAAGTGTTTTCATTTGGCAGCTATAGTTTGATGATCACTTACCCTTGAAAGGTCTTGACGGCAGATGGGGCACTCATTCTGCAAACAAAGCACTCGCATACGAGTCGAGCACTCGAAACAAACAGGGTGGTCACATTCGCCAATTGAGAAATATAACACATTCTTGAAACAAACTACGCAAGTAGTAATATCGACATCGTTCGATTGAGACTCTGCCATGATTCTTACAAGGTATCTGTAAAATATCTACATGTTATTAAGTTACGCAAAATCTCACATAGAACAAGGATATGTACCTACCACAAGAAAAATAATCTCGTTATCAGAAACGGAACAGATGTTTCAAACGGATAGCCCCCAAGCCCCCAAGAAAATTACAGAGCGTTTGACAGCTTAGATTACCACAAGAACGAGGATTGACAGAAGAATGTCATACACTGCCGTGCCGTGTGTAGTGTGTACCGCCATAAAGTATTTTTGATTTTATTTAACAACATTGAGATCTATGTTCATAGAGCCTTGTCTGACGTGTTTATTGTTCATAAATTTCATCACAATTCACACATTATGCTGATGCGTAACAGGTTTTCCGGGAGATTTTAACAGTTAATGACGATAGTATCTCAAACATGGGCTAAAATATCAAATTGGCGACAGTAAATTTGATACAAAGTATTGATGATATATAAAAAAAAATCTCACAAAAGGGCAGACGGTTTCTCCTGGGGTTAATAATTTAAAATATTTAAATAAATCTTCCGTGGACAGGAGACTAATGTGCTACGGGTTGTAATGAGTGAGAGCGACGCTCAGTTAACTCATAAGATTGTTCTTAAGCTATTGATCAAGTTAAAGCTCAAACAATATAATTATCAATAAAAATGAATAAAACAGTTTCAATCCATTTTCAATATTTGTAAGCTTATGTTAGTTAATTATCACCATAAAAATTAACGACAATATGACTTCAAAAATGAACTTACCGATTAAAGACAATTGCACTTCTGAAATTCGAGTATATTTATTTTCGGCTGAAAGACCATTCGTCTGTTTGTTGATTCCTAATTAAAATTTTCGGAATAGAGTTATTACTACTAAATAAACCTTCTAACTTTAAAAGTTTTCACGTTATCTAACTTCGGAATTTTTTTTTTGAATATCTATTTTTCGGTTACATAAAATTCTTGATAATCATCGTTCGCAATTTTTAAGATACGGAATTTTATACTTCCGAATAGTTAGTTATTTTGGAAGCTCGTGGCTATGACTTTTTGACGGCAAGCTAAAACATCGTTTTGGATGAATATATAGATGTTTGAAAAAAATCGACTTATCATTTCATCCCTAGTCGCACATCGAATAAGTGCCTTAACTGTCCTTAGTATTATTACAAAGAGCACTACGTACCAGGTCCACTCTGACGCCTTAATTAGGTACCCTTACTGCCTTACCCTTATTACACCTCTCTTATTAAGAACTTGGGGCTTGATTCAATATAGTGCAATAGGGGTATTAGCTAAGAAAATTTGGATGAGTTAATGAATGACCCACAGACTAGTTACGGAACTGACTCAGTGCAATCGGATTTTAATTATTTATTGTCATTTTTAGTACCAAAAGCAACTAAATTTTATAGATTATCTATGAAATTTTGTTTGTGGTACCCAGGGAGATTGTAACATATAGGAAGTGCGCACTTCATACTACAGAAACGTTCCTAAATCAGTGACCTTAAAATGAATGAAAGGCACCGAGTGAAGCGTTCCATTTCTTTCTAATAGAGTGTCCATAATACAATATTTTGAGGATATTAATAGTATATACAGCATTACAGTAAGTGCTGAATAACGTTATAATTAAGCTCCGCTTAATATTTTGATTACATGATTGCTTCGCAACAGTATCAAACCTTACGGTAACTAGTGGTGGCGTAGCGTGGGTTGGCACCCAGGGCGGTTTTCTATCAATCACCCCCAAAATAAAACAAAAAATGCTATACATGCTAACGGGACCTTATTTTGCTAAAATATTCTAATATATTATCAAAATTTACTTTTTTGTCATTTTAGATAGATAAAATGGTAAGATTGGTTAGTCCCGCTTGGCTCATTGTGGACCTTAAGTTAGATTTTATTAACTTTAGTTTTGAAAAGCTTCCTCCACATGAAACTTAATAGTAAAAAAAAAACTTAGACACATCGCTACATTAGGAACAGATTCAGAATAGCCCAATATTACGAGAAAAGCCCCAATGTGATTTTTGTCAGATTTTGAAGTATTACACGAAGATCTTCATCTAGTGACGTTAGCAGAGTGTAAGGCTGAACAACACTATATGTTACGAGAATATCATCCATTTCTCTGTAGCGATGGTCTTGTTACTCGTAAACGTTTTCGAAATCTCCTCATTCATCTTCTTCCTTCAATCGAAATGTCCACATTCTCACATTTTTCGTTACTCAGGAAATAGCTTTTTCCTCTAGCTGAATACGTTGACTTTGAAGAAAAATTTTTGGGCTTTGATTTTTATCACATACTTTTCCAGTGATAATCTAGATTATTTTTATATTATTTAGTATTTACTTTTGTGTCTGACTAACTTTTTTTAGGATTTTACACCAAAAAGAAAGATAGCATAAAAAACTGAAGTCACACAAAGCTGGTAAGAGTGTAGATGCTGCTTCTCTTGTATCGACGTTTTCTCTCTTGGTGCTGGGATCATATATATCTTCGAGTGTTTATACTAGTTTTTTAAATGATTCTGCAGTGGTTTAACAGCGTTATGATGAGCAAGATCAAGCAAGAGCAAGACAAGCAGAGACAAGATGGATTATCTTGTCTCTGAGAGTCTTTTGACGGATACGTCTACACTTTTCATTAATGTTTCCCATTGACGTGTGGATAATGAAAAGAACCTGTAAACTCTTTCTACTGTTCCGAAAAAAAGTTAAACTTGAATTAACGCTCCTAACGCTGCCTACTCTAAGTGAGTGCACTTCACATAGATTTAGCGAATGATTAGCACAAGGCCTATTCTACGTGGTAGAGCATGCTGCAGCTATACTAGTAGTATAGTTCTAGCACAAATGGGTCGGCTTGACTAGGAAAGGACCACGTACAAAATACCAGCGTAAAATAGCAGCTGAACACTAATATATAATGTGTATCGTATGGTGAGTGTAGAGAACCGGATACTCTTTTTACTGGAAACGAGGCATTCCATCTTAGTCCTCACGGGTGACAACGCATCAGCATTTTGATTCGCAAACGAGGATAGATGTAGATGTCTATGGGCCACAGCAACCACTTACCATCAGTTGGACTGTGTGCTCGTTTGTCACCCTTTCCTATTAAAAACAATATACTCATTAATTTGACAACGTCAAATTTTAAAATAGTGTTGTCATCTATAGCGCAAAATGCACCCCATAGTTTTTAGGGAAAGAATATTCGTGTTTTAGTGGTTTTTTTCGTGTTACTTAATAATATGCTTAATTGAAATACAATATGGAATATATTCCTATGATTAGCGAAAAAAATGTAAGATTATCGTTCTAGCATACGTATAAAATATTACTTTAAATCAATAACTGTCTAAACGTCGGTAATGTTTTTATTTTGTGTAAACATTTATCAATGTTAGAAGGAGATAAAATATAAAACTCGGTGCCTCTGTTTCTAAGAAAAACGAGGAACGGTTACAATGTTTCAAGCGCTCATTCCTATATTATATTATAACCTCCTTGGTGGTACCATACATTTTTTGGTAAATGGCAAAGAAAAGGGAAACTCTATTGTAATCCAGTCAAATAAGGTCTGAAATCAAAGTTTTGACACTTAACTTTGCATTTTTTATATAATGTAATTTTAATGAAAAAAAAACCAATGCGTAACAGTTTTCAAATTCTCAACCCCGGCAATGATAAAAAAAAGATTCCTCGTAAAAGCTCCTAAATTTTACGAGTGAAAAAAAAATTCATAGTATATTTCGGCAGGTGTGACTTTATAGAAGTATAAAATCTTTTTCAAATCCTACGCCGTTGTATTAAGCCCCGAGTGAAAAAAGACAAGATATTACTTACTTGTATACTATGTATGTTTACTCGGATACTATACGAGGTCCGAATAAGAGTGAGAAGGCATCATCGGAGAATCATAATTCTCGCACTCTTTCTATTTTACTATTCGTTCATTAAATAGATCAGGTTATTTTTGCCCACTTGGTGATTGAATCCCAAACCAGGATGTAAAACTTGACATGTTGGGATTGATTTTGAAACTTAACATTTTTGTTATAAACAGGTACAGAACACTAGGGCACACCGCGTTCGCCGGCAAACGCGTCGTCACAGACACACCCGTACGCGAGGTTCAACACCCGTGATACGGGGCGTTTCTAAGCTTACGACCCGTAAACAAAATTGCGATAGTGATTCAAGCCGAGGTTCGGACCTCCTTCTGAGGGGCCCTTGAATCGCATCGAGCCCCCCCCCCAGCTCGAGGAGCCTCACTCCGAAAGCAAGGGTCGGGGTGCTTGGGGACTACAGTCGGCGACCTCTACGGCTACCTCACCGCCGGCAGAATCGTTGCACTCAATAGTTCGTACGTCCTCCCTTACGAGCCTTATTAGATGAAGCTGTCAAGGCCGCAAGGCCAACAGCGTACACTATCAAAAAAAAAAAGTTGCGACATTCACGCGGAGCACACGTATGAGTACAAGCAGAACCGGAGAAAGAACGTTATTTGAACGTTGTAACTTGCAAGTAACATTACTGGGATTTGTTACCTAACTTATCATAAGGGCTAGTATGGGAAAGAAAATTTTCCAATAGTATTAAAATTGCTGGAATATAAATAAAATGGCATTAACTAAATAATTAAACAAAAATACACAATTTAGTAATTAAATTTATTAAAACTCATCATTAGAAAACTATCCTGGCTATTTGTAACACTAGTTAAATTATAGTTACTAAGCACTAGTTAGTTAAGTTGTATCACAGAATAAATTGGTTATATTAAATTATGAAGAGTAAAGTTAGTCATATTTAATTGTCTTTGATAGCCTAAAAATAGCGTGGCAGAGCTATGCTGCAGCTTATAAAGCATAGCACTATATTATGGTTTTAATTATTAATTAATTGATTGTTTTATTGATAAATGTAGGTGTCTATGGGCCACATACCATCAGATTTGTCATTTGTCACCCTTATTCTATATAAAAAGAGCCAAGGCTATATATACCGATTCATTGATCTTTCGATAAAACTAGCGCCATTCTCAACGCGTGCGTCCAGCGAGACCTACACTCTCATACTGAACGGCAGGCTAGTGTGTAGAGACAGCTCCGATATTGCTCCGATCGCTGTACTCCCTAGATTGCCCCTGCAGCAGGCATGTCAGTAAATAGGTAAATAAGTGGTATTGGATTTTTTAAGGGCTTTATATTTTAGGGGCATTTTTAGGAACTTTTATATGTATTTACACCTTCGTTTAGAAGTTTACGATGATTGCAGTGCAACGGAATTTAAATCGTTTGAAAATGTCTCAAAATTCGGCTTGTAGGTTTTGTATTTATTATCATTGTTGCAATATTTTTTATCTATTGAAATGCTATAAAGTGTGATGATGATGATAATTTATAACATTTAGTCCTTTAACTATTATTTAATATCCAAAATTAAAAATTTTATTTATTATCTTATTTAATATCCAAATGAATGATGTCGGAACCATCAGATGAAAACGGAATATTTAAAATATTAAACAATTTATATATTATAACGAACATTACAAAGCATTGTACTTAATTTTAGGGAAATTCTAAGTAAATAAGGTGATTTTAGGGGTAAATAATTTTGGAGTTTGTAACACTGACTGACGGTTAATGTTTCATCAGTTTAGTTTTTAAATAATTCAAATCGCCAATATAGTTTTATTGTGAATGTGAATAAATCGCGTCTTAAATAAGACTTATTACTGTGTACATATAATTATTACAGAAGAATGTGACACATATCATTACATACTATAAACTTTGTTGTTGTATGCAAGGAATTATTTAAGAAATGTATTTTCAAGTAAGTACCATTATACTTATTATTTTTTTCTTTTTAATTAGCCCCCTTTTTTATTTTCTATAATGAATTCTTATAACTTTGTAGATAGAAAATACTCCGGAGAATATTAGGAGAGCAAGGAGAAAAGAAATCGTCCAAAAAGATTCACCTAAAGAAGCATGTCCTCGTCTTATTTTAGCCCCGTTTTCGAGACCGCCGCAAGTTCTTTTTGAAAATGTTGTTATTGGAACATCTTGTGAAAGGAATCTGGAAATATTTAATCCGTCCAATCAAATACAACAGGTTATTTATTAAATTATTTCACTTACAAGCGATTTCATTTGCATGTTAGTACTCAGAAGTGGCTAGACCTGTGTCGTTGAAAATTTGTTCCTATAAAAGACAGTTATTACACTTTTTGATTTTTTTGAAGTCGATTGTGATCCACTGGCAAGGTTCAAAATGAATTCATCGCGGATTGTCGTTCACAAAATGTACATTAAATATTTATTTTTACAATTAAATTTAATTTATATTATATTTTTTACATTTACACTAGTAAAGCCTCATAATATTTATTAAATTAAGTTATTGAATTAAATTAAGTCATTGCATTACATTCAATATTTATTTAATAACTAGAGACTTCACTGACTTAGCCTGGGTTGGATCTATAAATTTTTTTTCATAATTTTTTTAAATTTTATTAATGTAACAACATAGGTTTAAGATACCATGAAAGATCATTTATTTTACAATACTTTTAATTTCACAATTAAATATTACCAATATGATAAGACTAAAAATATAGCCTGGATCACTGCCAGTATTACTCTGTATCTGTTTATGAACTTTCATAACAATTGGTTCAGCCATTCCTAAGATTAGCCTGGACAGACAGATTGATGGTTATAAATTAATTAGCACCCGCTGCGATAAAGTAAAAACGCTTTACATTGCCTTATTGGTGCCTTATGTCACAACTTGTGATTAGGTTTCAACGCATACATTTCTTAATTCACAATCATGATTGACACAGGCCTAGTTGTGACCATTCTTTTTAAATTATTGTAAACATTTCATAATTTAATATTCACTGAATACAATAGGTCTACCAATGAAATTTGCCATTCTGCAGTAGTGGCCATTTCAGATCAAAATAATTTTTGTTTAAATTTGATGATTTCTTCTCTTTAAATTAGTTTTTTGTTCATTGATTAGCTTTATGTTCGGGGAGATCTCATGGCTCTAATAATCACATTATTCCTGCCCACACGCAAAATACACGCATAGACATGGAGTTGTGAAAAACAGCTCGTCTTAAACTAAACTAGTGTTATGTTTTCATAGCATTTCAAGCTTTTTCGTCATCATGAATACGCTAAAAATTCAAGTAATTATGGAATATGAGTCCCGTCATAGTAGCAAAGTGGCACAAGTGGCATGCAACATCAACAACGTTTATGAAGGGAATACTATAAACTAATGCACTACCTGCTAGTGTTTTGCCCGCTTCTGAAATGAACCCCATGGTCATCCAAAAACTTTGGTCGACAATTAAGAATAAAAGATGATTATGGAAACCGATGATACTCAATCTACGGCTGAATTAGCAGCAGTTTTCGACGTTAACATCAAATGAACAGTGGTCCATTTGTGTCAAATTGGCAAGGTAAAAAAGCTTGACAAATGGGTACCCACCATCTCAATAATCGTCAGTGAGAAGTGCACATTGAGACATGCCATGCACTGCTTAAAAGACACATAAACAAAGGAATTTTGAACCGCATTGTTACCTGTGACGAAAGATGGATCGCAAGTGCTCAGCAAGTTGGTTAAATCCTGGTTCTACACCTCAACAATGATCTAAACATAAACTTACTCCTAGAAAAGTGATGGGTCACAGCTTCTTACAAACGGGATGAGCATTATTGCAGATGCGTATTATGAAGAACTGAATACAATGATGGAGGAGCTTGCATGTCTCCAACCAGTTATGATCAATCGTTCGTCCCGCATGACAATGCAGAACCTCGGAACAGATGGTCGCCAAGTTACAAGAGCTGGGGTTGGAAGCTCACCACCAGACCTTGCGCCTACAGACTTCTACTTTATCCAGAATTTGCATAACTTTTTGGCAGGAAAAAAATTCAATAAATTGCCACTGAATTGGCAAAGATGCATCAGTTACATGTGATTACTTTGATTAAGATTAAGTATCCTTAATTTATTTGTTATACTTTTATTTTACTTAATTAATTCAAATACATGTTTGGGTATTCTTATATATGCTTAATTAATTTGCTACACTTTTTCTTATTTAATTCAAACATGTTTGTTTATTCTTCTATATCCTTAATTACTTAATTTGTTACACGTTTTCTTACTTAATTCAAACATATGTTTGTATTATATGGTAATATTTTAAAAATACGAATATTGTTGTATTAATACAATATTTATATGTTTAAAAATTGCAGTTATAAAATTTTATCTACAAAACATGATGTTAGTTTATTCATAAAATGCTTAATATTATTAGAATCTTTTACAGTATCCAGTAGATTATTATGTAAAAGTTACAACCTCACACATGATATTTTTACTGCCATAAGATCTTGTGTATTTGTGTATTTTTATTTCCATAAGAAGTTCCCATCCATAAGAAGTCCATAAGAAGGGTAAGAATACTCACTACCCCATATCTTCCCGTGGGTGTCGTAAAAGGCGACAGAGGGAAACTGAGGCAGAGGATGGGCAGCAGAACCTTTCTGATAACAGCAAAACAACAATAAAAAAAACTGCGGTTGCCAACCCGCTCGCCAAGCGTGGCAACTATGGCAATATACCCCCCATGAAAGTAACGAAGAGACTGCCCCCAGTCCCCGGCGGCCCCGCTATTCCTGGCTACGGGTGGCGACCATGGTAACGGCGGGGCAGGGGGTGCTAAGAATCTCCGGTGGAGGTTCGGTTGCCACCTACGACGACTCGACCTGTCAACTTAAAACGCATGCACCCTGAGGACTGACGAGAAGATCCTGGAGCTGGAAGAAGAGATAGATAAGTTGCGCTAGAATGTCATAGGATTACCCGAAGTCCGAAGAGACGGGGAGGACACGGTAATCCTCGAATCAGGCAATTTGTTCTATCACCGGGAGGGCGACCATCTGTCCCAAGGAGGTGTCGGATTTATCGTCCACAAGTATCTCGTTAACAACGTTGTAAAAATTGGGAGTGTGTCGATGAGGGTTGCGTACCTTATACTCAGAATCATCAAACGGTATTCGCTGAAGGTCATACAGGTTTACACACCAACCTCGGCACACTCCGATGAGAAAATGGAGGAAAAATATGAGGATATCTCTAGAGCCATGCATCCTCCAAAACCCACTATACGGTGTTAATGGGAGACTTCAACGCAAAACTAGGTACAAGAGAAAACGGTGAGCTGAAAGTAGGTAATTTCGGAATAGGGCAACGGAACCCAAGGGCCAGCAGCTGGCCGACTTCATGGACAAAGAGGGACTCTTTATGATGAACTCTTTCTTCCAGAAGCGGCCCCACAGGAAGTGGACCTGGTCGAGCCCCGACGGTTGGACAAAAACTGAGATTGACTTGATTATGACGACCAGACGACAACTGTTCCGTGATGTCTCAGTGATCGCGAGGGTGAAAACTGGCAGCGATCACTGAGAGGCACACTGAACCTAAACGTTAAGTTGGAGAGGTCACGTCTAATGAAGTCTACGCTCCGTCCCCCTCGTGCTCTAATCCAAAGTCCCGAAACCTTTCAGCTCGAGCTACGAAACCGTTTTCAGTGCCTAGAAGATCGCATTGCAGTGGACGATATGAATGACAAGTTCGTGGAAACTGTCCACGCGGTCGGAGCTAAGTTTTGCAAGACCCGCCGCAGAAGAACACAAAAACTCTCCGATCACACTCTTAATCTCATGGCTGTTAGACGGGACATGAAGCTGCAATCTTCAGTAGATTTGACAGCATACAAGCAACTGAACAGATGCAAATGCATGCGGCGGGACTTACGCAACTTTAATACTGCTCGTATTAAAGAAGCGATCGAGCGGAACTAGGGTTCCAAAGTCTGCTAGAGATCTGTCTGCCAGAAAGAGCCAACTGTCGAAGTTGAAGACCGAGTGTGGCAGCGTCGTTTCCGAGACACCTGAGATTTTAGTGAGATTGAGAGGTTCTATGGGCGGCTGTACACATCATCGTTGGAGTCACACGCAAGTGTGAGTAATGATCCAAGAGCGAGTCTTATCCGACACTATTCCGATGATATTCCGGACGTCAGTCTGAGCGAGATTAGAATGGCTCTCCAGCACCTTAAAAACGGCAAGGCCCCAGGCGAGGATGGAATTATAGCGGCGCTTCTGAAAGTGGGTGGAAAACCGGTACTTGAAGTCCTTCAGAAGCTCTTTAATTCCGTCCTCCATGGTGGCACTACACCGGGGGCGTGGAGCAAAAGTGCGGTGGTCTTATTCTTCAAGAAAGGTGACAACGCTCTCTTGAAGAACTACAGACCGATTTCCCTTCTGAGCCGCGTCCACGTGTTGTTTTCTAGAGTCATTACGAATCGTCTCGCGCGCAGACTTGACGACTTCCAGCCTCCCGAACAAGCCGGTTTCCGAAAAGGATTTAGCACCATAGACCACATACATACTCTTCGGCATATTGTACAGAAGTCCGAGGAGTACAATTTGCCACTATGTCTGGCGTATGTGGACTATGAGAAAGCCTTTGATTCCGTCGAAATTTGGGCGGTGCTGCAGTCCCTTCAGCGATGCCAAGTTGATTGTCGGTATATCGAAGTGCTGAAGTGCTTGTACAGTAGAGCTACGATGGCTATCCGAGTACAGAACCAGAGTACGAAACCTATCCAATTGCAGTGAGGTGTAAGACAGGGTGACATTATATCCCCGAAACTCTTCACCGCTGCATTGGAAGACATTTTCAAGCTTCTGGACTGGAAAGGATACGGTATTAACATCAATGGCGAGTACATCACTCACCTTCGATTTGCCGACGATATAGTCCTTATTGCAGAATCACTGGAGGACCTAAGCACTATGCTCAATGGCCTCAATAGTGTTTTCCAACGGATAGGTCTTAAGATGAACATGGACAAAACAAAAATCATGTTTAATGTCCATGTCACACCTATGCCGGTAGTTGTTGGGATCACTAAGCTCGAACTTGTTGACGAGTATGTTTACCTGGGACAATAGTCAGACTAGGTAAGTCTAACTTCGACCGAGAGGTCAATCGACGGATTCAACTCGGTTGGGCAGCGTTCGGGAAATTACGGCACATCTTCTCGTCAGGTATACCTCAAACTTGAAAACAAGACTGTACAACCAGTGCGTGTTGCCAGTGATGACCTATGGTACTGAGACGTGGTCCCTCACTGCTGGCCGGATGAGGAAGCTCAAGGTCGCTCAGCGAGCTATCGAGAAGGCTATGCTCGGAGTTCCTCTGCGTGATAAACTTAGAAATGAGGATATCCGCAGTAGAACCAGAGTGACCGACGTAGCCCAACGAATTAGTAAGCTGAAGTGGCAATGGGCCGGCCATATAGCTCGAAGAACCGACAGCCGATGGGGAAAAAAGGGTCTCGAGTGGCGGCCTCGTACCGGCGGACGAAGTGTAGGGCGTCCCCCCACTAGATGGAGTGACGACCTGGTAAGATATGCAGGAAGTCGATGGATGCAGGTGGCTCAGGACCGTGCTTTGTGGCATTCTTTGGGGGGAGGTCTATGTTCAGCAGTGGAATTGTGAAGGGATGTAATGATGATGATGATGAAGATCTTGTACTTCATTCAAACAGATTTATTTTGCTGTACTATAACAGTGCTTTAAAAAATTACACCACTTTACACAGTGTTATTTAATATGGCTGTGGTGAGCATAATACGAATATGTGTATTTAAGGATACAGCTTACGAAATTATTATTTTACTAGCTGTTCCCCGCGACTTCGCCCGCGTGTGATTAAGGGTTTCAATTTTTTTGCGAGGAACCCTAATTATTTTTCGAAAATAAAAGTACCCTAAGTTACTCCTTATGACATCAGTTATCTGCCAGTGAAAGTCCCGTTAAAATCGATCCATTCGTTTCGGAGCTTAGCCGGGACAAACAAATAGACAGACAGACAAACATTTTAAAAAGTGTATTTTTGTTATAATTACCATTTATACTTTCCTATGCATTTAGTTAAACGCTGTAATTTTGACATTACAAAGAGATACTTGTATTTTATTTATTTGTATAGATTCTAAATAAAATGCCTATATAATTTGTTATGAGGTCCTTACATAATATGAAATTGGCGATTAATATGGAAAAAGCAAAATGTTTTGTTTTTTTATGAAGTTATATATTTATTATTTTATCAATCAAAGTACATATGTACCATCTATATCTATGCACTTTTGCCGTTTTATAGGTAGTTTATTGATTCCTTTGCTGAACAAATTGTGGGAGTGAATATCAATAAAATCTTTGAAGTCAGTTTTGACGGCCACAATGGAATTGAATTTTTTCCATGCAAGAAATTTTCTTGAAAGAAAAGTTGTGCAGTGTGTGTTCTAGTGTTGTTCTGTAGCAGCAGTGGACCAGAGCAATTGACCAGTCTCGGTTGTTTAATATCTAATTTTTCCATCATGTTTTGCAATTGTTGAAAATACAGATCTGCTGTAATCGTCAGGCCAAATTTTAGAAGCTGTAGTAAACGACACTAGCACTAGTCAACCAGACACTTACCAGTCCCTTTTTCTGATTCAACTTTCGCTTTGGGCAGGATTTGGCTGGTGCTCCTGGATTGAACCATTGTGATGAGCGTTTCCTATTATCGTACAGGATCCATTTTTCATCAAAAGTAACAATACGATTCAAAAACCCGTCCTTATTGTGACTGTTGAGTAATGTAACGTAGCACTCGACGCGTGTTTGTTTATGTGCTTCACTCAATACATGTGGTAACCATTTTTGAGCTTTGACTTTTCAAATTTGTTTCAAGTGAATTAAAATTGTTGTATCACTCACACCGAAGCCTGATATAAATCACTAAATTCGAAACACAAATACACAAGCCTAAATTAAAAATAAATTTAGAATTCCTATTCAAACGCCTAAGTGTGCGTCCACAGTGAATGCGCGGCGGCTTGATCCTGTTACGGGCGCGACGACGGGCGCGTGCCGTCGCCACAGTGACGAGCGAGCTGTTGGTGTGCTTAAATGTATTACAGGTGTTGTAAACCATGGACGAGGATTTAGTATTTCTACTAGACAGTCCGATCCTGAGATGGGAGATTTTGAACGTTCGAGAGGGTGTGCACGAAATAAATAAAAACCGACAAATAAATGGTGAATTTTTTAATTTGGATGAAGAAATGAGATTGTACCCTAGAAAATTCTCTGAGTATACTCGAATCTCCGTGTCAACATTTGATTACGTCCTGAGTAAAATATCACCTAAAATCACTAGAGAACATACAAATTTATTAACAAAAAAAAAAATGAAGACGCGCTTACGCCAAGCGATAAGACCGAACTGGTTTGATACCCCCGCACCCGCGCATTGTATTTGGATCGCTTGCTGACTAGGCCCGTAGTGTGGCCAAAACGCGCGGATATGAATGTTTGAAAACTACGCGCGCTATCTCGCTCATGCCCGTCGCGCTAGGCGTCCGCCTTAGTCACTACACTATGGACGCAAACGGCGGTTTCATATGTTTGATAATTCGCGCCCGTCGTCGCAACCGCGCTAGGCTCGCACTGTGGACGAGGGCTAATATTTGAGATTATCATGGCCAGTTCGACAAAACGCCAATTTCATATGTAAGGACCTAATATTTACTTCACTGTGAATAAAATTATTCACTTAGTTGTTGTGTAATTTCTAAACAATTGGATCAATTGATGTCATATTAACAACATATCTGTTACGACCTTTTCAACAATGGTTCATAGCTAAGCTAGGATCCAATGTCTATGGACCAAAATGACTCACATTTGCAGTGTGGGTTTAATAGCAATGAAGCATTAAATCTGGATACAATAGGAGGCGCTGCAGTTAGGTTATTTTTTTTCTTTTGTATATTCAAATTAACATTCAGGAATGAATTTGGAGAAAAACTCATTAGATAATAATTAAAAACCCTTAGGTGATATAGGGGGGGGGGGGGGGGGGGCAGAAAAACATCTGCCGGACCAGCTGGTGTATTTTATTTCTTTAATGTTCCTTTTAAGAATTATAAACATAAACCTTTATAATTGGTTAAGTTATATATATATTTTGATATTTTACAGATAGCACTGGGCCGTTCCTTGCCTCCTGGATTAGTGATAGATTTACCTGATGATTGGCTTTTATTAGAACCAGAAACATGTTACTGCCTCACGATGATATGGACACCGATGCAGCCATTATCTCTTAGAGAAACCATTCGTTTTACAAATGAGAATAGAGGCAGATATGATGTGATAGTAGTACTGAAGTCTGTTATGGTAATACTTTTTTAGCTATATGTCTCATTAATAATTTTCTCAAAGTTACTAATCTACATCATTTCATCATTACAGCCATTCACAAATCCACTGCTGGAAATACGTTTCTCTCAGAAATGCTACATAATCTTAGTGCTCATACGCACTACGCTTATAACCGCAATGCGGCTAGCCGTCCGGCTGAACGCAGGATGCGGTTGCGAATGCGGCCAACCGGATTGCGGGCAGCCGCATTCGCAACCGCAACCTGGACGTGGAAGAAAGTGCAGCTATTTACTACATTTACACACGTTACGTTTACGTACTACTTCTTTAGAAGAAAAAACATTTCTATGCGCACTGCGAAGCGGCTAACCGCATCGCAGTACGCATAGCAATAGATGTTACGTATAAATTTTTGTTTGCGGTCAAAGAGTATTGAATATTTAGGTACACTATAAAGCGGATATAGGGAACATTTGCATACAAAAACTTTGAGCTCGCGCGTGTGTGACACTCTCTAACTAAACATAGCAAAACTACGCTGAATATTTATTAGGAAAACATTTTAGCTATTCCCCAGTAGGTGACGCTAATAAATGTACGGTAAAACCCTTTTAACCCCAAAATTTTAGGAATGTTGCCCTATCGACATCAAAGTATCGATAATGTTGTAGAAGGTTACTAAGTTTGTAATGCTTTACGATATAATAATATGGAATATGCATGTTTTATATTGTATAAATCTATTTATTATGACTCCTATCACACCAAAAAAAATCATATAATCTTTTTAATTCATGAATATCGTCATGAATGAAATGTCATGAAATAAAATATTTAATTTCCAATAACTAAGAATCAATTTAAACAGCAGTCACATTGGTGGCATCTTGGATGACGTCACTAGGCCCATTAGAGGCTATAATAATAGCATATGATTGGCCGGTCGGCGTCGAAGGCACGTCGCGAAACGTTAAATCTAATAAGATAGTGTCTCCATGTTTTTCAAATTCGTTTCTTTTACAAAAATACACTTTAAATCTGACATATTTTAAGAAAGCACTGAACTTAAAAGTCGTTACACGATAAATTATCATACAAATTCACAAGTTTGCGCGTTTACCGCTAAAAATAACACCTTTGTCGTATCTCCTCAATTTCAGAGCACTTCCCTTGTTGCCGCAGCCAGTATCGGAATCTTCGGCGTCAACATATCGAATGACCTGCAGTAGCATGGTCACTTGGAAGAGAAAGCTAAATTGGCTTCTAAAAACGTACTCAGTAGAGCGGGACAGTATTTCATGCCTGCACATCGTTTGCAACTTTAGAAGCGTAGATTCGGCCTCACAAGGAATACTGTTCTCATCTCTGGGCCGGAGCTCCCTAGTGCGAGCTCCTTTCACTTGAACGCATAGAGAGCAGAGCGGCTCGAATCGTCGACGATAGAGTTCTCTTTGATTGACTCAATTCACTGGCGCTGCGTAGAGATGTTGCATCCCTTTTGCATTTTCTATCGTATTTACCACGGCGAGTGCTCTGAGGAATTGTTCGGATTAATTCCAGTCACCAAATTTCACCAACACACATCGTGACAAAACTTACGTTACCATCCACATCATTTGGATGCTTGGCGGTCCACTACAGTGCTATTTAATAGGAGTTTTTTTTAGGAATAGTTTACATCGGCGATTTTTATGGACCCATACGTCTTAGGGACCTTCAATAAACGTGCTTACTCCTTTTTAAAGGCCGGCAACGCATCTGTAACTCTCCTGGTGTTGTAGAATTATATTAAAATTTTAAAAACAAGGCTATCTTGTTGACTAGTTGTACTGGCTGACATAGACGTTTCTCGATAAAACCAACGGCCCTGTGTCCCGACACAGGCCCACCCGTTTTTTTTATCGGTATGGGTACAGTATCGTTTACTGTTTCACCTCCTTAAATATAGCACCAATCGACAAACGTCAATCACTAACTCATTTGGTGACATTACTGGATAACAGAGTGCGCTTATTACAATAATAATAAATGTTCTAGAACAATCTACAAGAAATAATAAAATTTTAAAATTATGGGGTAAATCACAATCAGTTTTTGCTACATATCGGGACTTACAATACCTTAATGCACAATCGGGCATATATTCTTTAAAAATATTTGTTAAATTTAGTAAACGAATGCGTCTTGAGCTTTTGATGATGTCACTAAGGCTAAATTACACTAATCCGAAATATATCCTATAGGACATAAGTAAGGGGTGACTATTTTGTTGCTGATGTCTGGTCTACTTAAATGTCTTTGATTGCGGGTAATCGTATAGTGCCTATGACCACTTAGTCTGGACAAATTCATGACAGTTGTAATAATATAATTTTTAATAATGAAGAACATTTATATATTATGTAATAAAGGAGCTAAACGAGCTGTTTCTTTCTTTATTTAAATGATTTTGGGATACAGGTTGTTAAGTTTTTTTATGCAATTGTAGCGATTCTGCTTTAGGCCTTGCTGTCAATTTCACAGTATGCGGGCAGCTAAGGTTCAATCCTCACCGTCTCCATTGAAATTGTTAACTGTAATTTTAAGAGCTGATTTACCACATACTCCGTGGTGAATAAAAATATCTTGAAGAACCTGTATGTCTGAGAAATAACAATATTTCGAAGACATATTATGCGGTACGCCAACCATGCATTGGGTTAGCGCAATGGACTCTTTCAGTAATTAATAGTCATGCCCCCAGGAGTGGAGCGTATAGGGCGACAACTTTACTTTAAACTTACAATTATATTTACATAATATTTTACTCCTTTCAGAATATAAAAGGAAAAGGAGGCCAACCAAAAACAATGAAAATTTCACCAGGTAAGATTAAAAAGAAAACAAAAAAATCGCCAGTTGGTTTTTATAAGAAGAAAGCCGAGGTTGTTTACAACTCGACTAAAATCAAAACTACTGTCAATATAGTTCAAACAACTCAACACAAGAGTTACAAGTCTTCAGAAAAAGAAAATATTTCAACGCTAGATCATACTGTTGACACCTATCCTAAATGCCCCTTTGACTCCCCCACAAACATTGATTTTTATTTTAATACATCAGAAATATTTTCCAATATGAGAAAACCTAACAATGAAATATTACAAAATACTTATGATAAGACATTTGATATGAAAAGCAACAATAAGCCACAATCTCCTATAGAAAAAAACATTTTAAAACCATCAAACAGGCAAGTGAATACATCTATTTCAGATATTTTTGATAATTTTAACTTTACTCCTTTGAAAACCCTGCCAACAAAAAGTGATAAACTAGACAAGGGTCCTAAGATAATACTCAGTATGAATTCTGAAAGTGATTTTGACGACAGCTTAGATATTCGAAATTCTAACAAAGAAAATGAAAGTCACTCATTAATATGTATAACATCGTCACAGCCCCCTAATAAATGGCTTACGGTAAGCCATTCACAACAAGACAACACTTGTACGGAAAATCCTGCAATACCAAGTAAAAAAATACCTAATACATCATCTCCCAAGGAACTTAACAACCCGAATTTCTCTATAAATACGGAATTTTCACGAATCAGCGATCTTTCGTTTTGTCCCCAAAGGTTTTCAACCGAAAGAAAAATCTTACCCAAAATGCAAAACGACACTCAAGAACTAATTAACGACACTAATCCTAATATAAAACTGAGCTCTGACACATACACAAAGGAGTCTCCAAATACACTAATTGGACACCATCAGATGGACGAACAAACTCGCAAAATAGAACAACATCCAAAACTATGTAGACAATCTTTGTTCAGAGACAATCAACATTACAGAGATATATTTGATAAGAATTATCTAAATTTAAATGAACATTTCATGGGGTACACTGATTTGAGACCAGAAAGATCACCGCCACGGTGTCTTTCTCCTCCTTTACAGTCGATACCCGAAGAAAGCGGTCAAATATCCGACACGCAAGTTCTCGACAAAACAGACAAACAAATGACAACATTTACTATTAATCGTACATTTGATAAAACTACCGATGGAAATAATTTTTCTGCTCTTTCAAGACAATCTTGGTCAAAAAAAGCTGTGAGGGCTGAATCAGATCTCTGGAAAGTTCCGATTCTATTGACAAAAAAAAACATGAAAGGCAAAGGCTACGTTAATAAAGAGAAAGATTCGATCTCTGGCAAGATATCAAACACGACGTTTGAGGGTAACAAAGTCAAACAAAATGTATCGCTCAATCAAGTGGGAAATGTTTACTCCCAGTCTTTCACAGTTGATCCATTCTTGTCGTCAACATACTTCTATGATGAGGGGGCCGTTGATAAGTTTGAACAAGAATTTAAAAGATGGCTTAATTATATCCTTACTCCTCCCGCGGATCTCGATAGTAACATCGATCAAAAAATTGACGTGGGTAAAGCTTGGATTGAAAATAGAAACAAAGAAGTACCAGCAGCTCCTACCAAAGAGCAAGTCAGTAGCAGATATCATAATAGGCACAGATTGGAAAGTCTCCGGCGTTCCGCCAGAGCTATGTTAATGAGCTCGGATATGTCACAAGTATTTATGAAATTAAATGCGCAGATAGAGAAAAAACTTATAGCTATAAGAAATGACAGAAATCTTCACCTAGATGTAGGATTACAAAAAGTCATAATGGAATTGTTGTTGTCATACAATCCATTGTGGCTTCGTATTGGGTTAGAAGCAATCTATGGACTCGTTTTACCGCTAAAGTCTAATAGCGATATTGAAGGCTTAACAACATTCATAATCCAAAGAATGTTTAAAAACCCATATTTAAAGAACAAACATTCTAAATCAAGCGCGCCGAATATGCTCTTACCTGCTTATATGGAAGCTATCAAAAAATTTACGCTCAAAAAGTTTTTCATGCTGGTGTTCTTTCTAGACCAAGCTAAACAAAAGAAACTGATATCGCATGATCCTTGCTTGTTCTGTAGAAACGCCGTTTGTAAAGAAAGTAGGGAAATCATAATACGTTTCACGCGAGAATTGATTGCTGGGATCGGGGACATAACTAAGCATTTACGTCCTCTCGGTTATGTCGTGTGCCATAAACAGTCTTACTTAGACGAATTTAAATACGCTGTTCACAACATCGCTACCGATATAAGAGATGGAGTGCGATTGACTAAAGTTGTGGAAATAATTCTAATGAAAAATGGTTTATTAAGCCAGCTGAGGACACCAGCAATATCGCGGTTGCAGAAAATACACAACGTGCAAGTTGCTCTTAATGCTTTGAAAGAAGCTAATTTTGTGATAATGGGTGATATAACGGCTACCGATATAGCGGACGGGCATAGGGAGAAAACATTGTCATTGCTGTGGCAGCTGATACACGTATTCCGTGCTCCGTTATTTGTAAAAGCTGCAAATGTTATACAGACTTGGTGGAGGAAGAAATACTCAGTCATTGTTGAAAAAAGGAAACAAGAGGAAGAATTAAGACAGCGATTAAACAACGCCGCCAGCACAATTCAAATGTGGTGGCGTAGAATTCAATATAATCGCATGGTTGAATTTAAAATGCGACAAATAACTTATGCCACTATCACCATACAGAAATATTTCCGCAGATGGCTGTGTCGAAGTCGTTTCCTAAAGATGAAGTCTAATGTATTAAGAATTGAAGATTGGTATTTAGGAGTAAAAGCGATTAGGGTAGCGCGTAATATTCTAAATACTTATCGTTTGAAACGAGAAGAACAAAGATGTAAAGCAGCTACTAAGATCCAAGCACATGTAAGGCGCTGGATTTGTGTGAAACATTTCCGATTAATTGTAAATAAAATAATATGTTTGCAAAGTATTGTCAGATGTTTCCTTACAAGAAACCGTTATTTGCGCTTAAAGAAGTCTGTTTTGTACATACAGGAAAAATATAAAGGCAAATTACTCATGAAAGAACAAATGAAAAAGCTAGCTGTAAAAATAAAAAGTATTGTCGCAATTCAAAGTTATTATAGAATGGCTAGACAGCGCAAATTATTTTTGGGCTACAAGAACGCAGTAAGAACTATTGAGAATCATTACAGCGCATTAAATAAAATGAGGAAAGAAAGGACAAATTATTTGCTTTTAATAAAGGCGACACTAAAGGTTCAATCGATTTATCGAGGCAAAAAATGTCGCACTGAATATATAAGATGTAGAAATTTAATCATTTATGTACAAAGAAAGGTTAGAGCGCAACAGAATATGTTAAAAGAAAGGAAGAAATATTTGATGACCCGAAAGGCCATCTTGACCATACAGAGTTACATAAGATCTTACTTGGCAATGAAGAAAGCGAGGAACGCTTATCTTATACAGCGGAAGTCTGCAATCATGATTCAAAATTACTTCCGTACATGCAAAATTGCTAAGGCACGAAGAGAAAATTACACACAGTTGCGGAGTGCAGTAATTAAACTACAGTCGCGGTACAGAAGTCTGTTGAAAATGCGCCAAGAAAGGAATCATTTTATTAAACTTAAAAACGCAACTATAGCTTTGCAGAGACATTATCGAGCTCTCATTTTAATGAGGGAGTGCAAAAATAAATACCAAACATTACGTAAAGCCGCAATATTTATTCAAGAGCGATACAAAGCTCTAAAGCAAATGCGTGAAAAACGATCTGAATATCTTAAAATAAAATTGTCATGTATTATAATTCAAAATCGTTTTAGGGCTTATCTACTAGGAAAAATTGAAAGAAAAAAATATGTTAAATTAAGAGAAAATGTTATTAAAATCCAAAATTGGTACCGATCTTGTAAAAAAAGTAAAGAAATTAAACATCAGTACGAAAAAACTAAGCAAGCTTGCGTGACTATACAAAAGAGGTATAAAGCTTACTTAATTAGTAGAACTGTAAGACACGAATTTATTCGTGTTAAAACAGCTACCACATACATTCAAAAATATTATAGAAATTACTTAATATCAAAAAGAATAAGGCAGGAGTTTATTACTTTAAAAGCAGCTACTATTACTATACAAAGGTTTTATAGGTCGTATATAGAGACAAATAAGCAAAGGGAGCGTTACTTGCGTTTAAAATTGGCTGTCCTATTGATACAGAGTTACTACAAAAGTTATAAAGAAACACAAAGAATTAAACAGGAATATAATGAGCTTCGAGCAGTATCTATTAATATTCAAAGAAAATTTAGGGCAATGCTTGCAATGAAAAGAGAGCGTGAACGGTTTTTAAAAATGAAACATTTAGTTATTGTTGTACAAAGACGATACAGAGCATTAGTCGCGATGCGATTACAAAGGTGGTCTTACTTAGAGTTACGGTCGGCTGTTATCGTCGTACAAAAGAGATTCAAAGCACAAATGTTGATGAAAAAAAAGAGAGCAGAATATTTAACTTTGATAGAATCTTGCAAGAAGATTCAGCGATTCTACAGAGCATACAGAGCAGGTAAAGAACAAAGGTACAGCTATTTATTATTGAAAAATGTAACAATCAGAGTACAACAGAAGTACAAAGCTTTGCTGGCAATGAAAAAAACAAGAACTAATTACTTATTGCTTCGATCGTCTATTGTTGTTATTCAGCAAAGGTTTAGGGCTTATAAACTCATGATAAAAGAACGCCAAAAATATAGAAATCTCTTACAAGCCATCGTTAATATACAAAGATATTATAGGTCGTATATCCTTTGCAAAAAGGCAACACAAGAATACCTTGAAATGAAATCTGCTGCAATCGTAATTCAAAAATACTATAGAAGTGTCATAGAAATGAGAAAAATCAGAAATAATTATAGAAAACTTCTCGATACTGTCAGATTCGTGCAACAACACATAAGAGCTAAAAATGCCATTCGCGAAGCACGTCGTGAAATAGCAGCTAGTAAAATACAGAAATGGTATATTTCAAAAAAACTTCGTAATAAATGTCGAAGTGAATATTTAGAAACGAGAAAACGAGTTATTATGATACAATCAGTTTTTCGCATGCATATTAAGCGTAAACAATACCAAGAATTAAAACGCGCAACAATTACAATACAGGCTTGTTATCGGTTATTTAAACTAGCTAGAGTTCAAAGGCAAAATTATATAGCAATTAGAACTGCTGTTATAAAGTTGCAGGCGTTTGTGAGAAGTCATATTCAGAGGAAACGCTTCTTGAAAATTCGATCAGCTGCTTTAGTCATACAAGCACTTTATAGACTAAAAAGGCATAAGGTTCTTATGAAGCAAAAAAGAGAAGTTGCTGCTTTATGTATACAAAAAAATATAAGACGTTATCTTGTGAGGAAATGGTACAAGTCCTACAAAGAACATGTGAAATTTATACAATTATTATGGAGAGGGAAGCTTGTCACAAGACTGATCCGTTGGGAATTTTTGCAAAAGAGACGAACAATAATAAAACTGCAGGCCATTGCGCGAGGATATCTAGTCAGGAAGAATGTTCAATTGCAAAAAGAGACCCTACAGAAACTAAAAGAAGAACAAAAGCAAAATTGGGCTGCATCTAAAATTCAGGTATGTAATAGTGATTTTTTCCTTTTTTTATCGTGAGGTGGCGGTTGACTTCCACTGAATGGCGATATACCTAAACCAGGAACGAGTAGCAGCGTCAAAGGTACAAGCAGACGGTATTGCGATCGTCAATACTCCTTAAAATGGGAGAGGTTCATGTCCACCAATAAATAGATTAACAGCCTAAAAAAGAAAGAATAGGTACACATTATTATGTTTGTCTGATATTAAATTATTCTTTCGATTTGTTTAACAGTAAAGTTAAATCCTATAACTTGTTTTGTTTTTGAGATCAATAATATTTTCGACATCCTAGGAAATTTTTGGATCCCGAGACTTGTTGGTTTCCCCATTGATTCCTTCACAGTTAGCACGTGTTAAATTACGTCGAGATTCAAACTGGTTTCTCGCGTACATTCCATAAATTTACGCCATGTGCTTAGCCCCTATGAACTACAAACGAGATCTGGCACTACTTCGTATGGTGAGTGAAGATAACTGCAGGCCGTGGCTAGTTTACCTGATGTTAATTGAATGCTGTTTTGTCACTCTTACTTCTATACGAAAAAAAATTAAGACATCGTCAGTCTTAGGATTGCTTTTGTTAACATTTTTTTTTTATAGGATAAGGGTGACAAGCGAGCACACAGTCCACCTGATGGTGAGTGGTTGCTGCGGCCCATAGACATCTACATCTATCCTCGTATGCGAATCAAAATGCAGATGCGTTGTCAGCCGTGAGGACTAAGATGGAACGCCTCTTTTCCAGTAAAAACGGTCTCCGGTTCTCTACACTCACCATATTTTTCACCATATTTTACGCTGGTATTCTGTGAGAGCGTGGTCCTTTCCCGGTCGAGCCGACCCATTCGTGCTACAACTAAACAATTAATTTAGCTGCAGCATGGCTCTACCACATGTAAAACTTAATTTCATTATCTTTAATTTTGTAACGTGTATATATTTTGGGCGTTGTGGGGATGGCAGCGTATAATAATCATTCGCTACATTTCGTGTGTGTGTGTGTGTCATAAGGATGACTAAGAAGCTTAACCTCAAAATTGTGCTCTCAAGTAGATGGCACCAATCAGACGTATGTCAGATGTTAAATGGATTCCGAGCCTTGAGAGAGACCAGCGTCTAATCTAAGATGCGTAATATCTGGTTCCGCAATCACCATGTCACTGGTTAAGCACGCCTGTGTTAATATTTTTCAGTACATCCTAGTATGAAGCCTATGTCTGTACTGTTTATAGGTTAATAATGAAGTGTGTTCATCAAGTTCTGAAAAAAACCTTTTAGGCGCTCTTCCGTGGACATCGTGCTCGAGTCAAAATCGAAGATCGATGCGTTCACGTTTTGCGGCGTAGGTGGCGCGACGGCGCTCTGAAATCTACGCAGCAATCGCTAAAGGAGCGTAATGAAGAAGTCATGGATGTGCTCGGTAATATGTCTGATATTGAGACAGTTATCCGAGCATTCAGGTCTTTAGGTGGGTACACTTTATATTATGTTGTTGAATAGATACAAAGGTAGTTTAAACAGCTATTTTCGAGCAGGGACTTAAAACGTTATAAATAACAGAATGTATAACGTTATAATAACGTTATAATGGTATCGTTACCTTAGCAAGCATAGCGTTTTCAATATTTAGTATAACGTTTTAAGAGTAACAGAACAAAATTGTGACAGGCAATTTAACGTTATTATAACGATAAAGACGCGACGTTGCCAAACCTATTCATTTTCAAAAGCGCGCGAATCCGCGCGACTTACGAGATGGGTGGGGCCTGGGATCCAATTGGTCTACTATATAGCTTGGACGGACGAGGAATTCTTTGCACCGCACGCACTCCAGAAGCGAACTGGCAACGTTGTAAAGTGAATGAACATTTGATAATATCAACCGCTTGCTAATTGCGATTTGCGACGTATTAATAATTATACCTCGATAAATTTATTTATTTATTCTTTATTGCATCAAATATTTGTACAAAAGGCGAGCTTGATGCTATATGGCATTCTCTACCAGCTAACCATAAATATCATATTACTTATATTTATTTATTTTTTAAAGTTGATTCGAACTACACTTGTTTACAAATATTGAAAATGGTTCGTATAAATTAATAAATCTTATAGATATTTTAATCTTGATCAATAGTAAGACTTCAAAATGTTTAATTGCTGGATACGAAAAAGTTTTGAAGGTAAGTTAAGCAAAAATCTTAGATAACGTGTAGAAGAATGCGCTTTTTCAGTCAGTTTTCATTAAGAAAAATATTGTATTTATATATGTACAAGGTCTCCAAGAAAACAGGATACCAACCTACTTTACCTTCTGTTATAGTACCATCCCTGCTAAATAAACATCCCAAATATACAAACTCATCCACTTGCTCAATCTACTCCCCTTCTATTCGTATTTCACGTTTTACTTCCTTCTCTTTCAAAAACCATCACTTTCGTCTTACTTACGTTTACTTTCATACCCCTTTCTTTTAATCACCAGTTAATTAAAGTAATCATCATTTGCAGTTCGGCCGCCGACGATGCAAATATGACTTGATCATCTGCGTAAAAAAGGATTTGACGGTTAACTCACCCATTCGCAACCCATATTCTTCAACTGTCCATAAATAGGTTATACATCCACGGGGAAGCTACACAACCCTGTCTGACACCTTTTTAAATACCAAACCAGTCCGACACAAGCGACACAAGCGCTAGAGTTCCTATAAAGAGACCTTAATACCTGTATAAAACCAGCGCTCAACCCAAATGAGTTCAGTGTTTGCCATAACACGTTCCTGTCCACTTTGTCATAAGCCTTTTCCAAGTCCATGAACGCACAAAAAACTTTCTGGTTTTTGACCAAAAACTTCTCCGCAATCAAGCCCATGGAAAAGACTTGATCCGTACACCCCATCCCCTTTCTAAATCCAGCTTGCACATCCCAAATTTTTCCATCAGTTTCTTCCATAACTCTTTCAATACATATTTTTTAAAGAAAATATCTTCACAATTATTTTGATGTACAATAACATTAGAAATAACTTATAAACAGAAAATTTATCACATTTTTGATCGAATTTCTGATACTTTAACAGCCCACAAACAAAAATTTCTAAATATTTTGTTAGTATTATACAGATAAAATTGACTCTCACAGGTTACAAATTTATAAAAGCAGCATCTATAATTTTTTACTGTATTAATAACCACTATCTTTTGCACTGTACACGTTTGAAACAGAAACAGAAACTTTTTTATTAAATATAGATTATAAATAATACTTATTGAAAGTCACTCTTTTGTATAATTACCACTGGTTCGAAAAAAAAACCTCTGTCCTGGGAAGAACCAGCAAGAAACCCAGTGGGAGTTTATTTTTTTTAAATAACAGCTTACAATCATGTTAGTTAATACATTCATTAATTAACAACACAACAAATTAGAAATAGCTTGGTAGCGATCACCTCATTTCCAGGGGTTATTATCATCTATAAATTCATTAATATTATAATAACCCTTTTTATACAAACTTAGTTTAATAAAGTTTTTGAACTTTGAGCAGGTCAAATTTTGTATATTTTCGGGAATTTTGTTGTAAAAGCGTATACATCGCCCCAAGAATGAATTATTGACTCGATGGAGTGGAGTAACTGGTACTACTAGCTTGTGTCTGTTCCTAGTATTTACAGAATGAATATCACTTATTTTTGTAAAACTACTTTTATTTTTGTGTACGTACATTACATTTTCATAAATGTATTGAGAGGCCAAAGTTAATATATTTAGTTTCCTTAAATTTTTGTCGCGGCTTTAAATCATAAATTGCTCTTATGGCCCTCTTCTGTAAAACAAATATAATTTCAGAGTCAGCTGCGTGTCCCCATAGCAAAATACCATACGACATTATGCTATGGAAATAGCTAAAGTAAACTAGTCTAGCTATTTCAACACTAGTTAGACATCTAATATTTTTACGGCATATGCTGCAGAACTAAGTCTGCTTGCTAGTTTTGATATATGGGGGCTCTATTGAAGCTTCGCGTCTAGTGTGATTCCAAGAAAAATGGTGGTATCTACAAGACTCAGTTTCTCCCCATTTAAAATTACATTAGTATTTAATTGTTTGACATTTGGAGTCATAAATTTCATACATTTCGTTTTAGTGCCATTTAAATGCAAATTATTAACATTGAACTAATTTACTAATTTAGATATAGCATTATTTACTTCGTCATATTTTAGCAATTGTCGACTTAATTTGAAAATTAAAGAACTGTCATCTGCAAATAATACTATATCATAGTTATCTCCTACAATGTAAGGTAAGTCATGAATTTATACAAGAAACAGAAAGGGGCCGAGAATTGAGCCTTGAGGCACGCCCATTTGTACCATCGACCCGGAAGAACTCATACTGTTAATGACAACTTTTTGCGTTCTCTTACTTAAATATGAAATAATTAATTTAAGAGCATCACTTCTTACACCGTAGTGTTGAAGTTTCCTGATTAATGTTTCATGGTGAACATAATCGAAGGCTTTGGATAGGTCACAAATCATACCCAAAGCATCCTGTGAAATTATCCCATACATTAAATATATATTTAATCAGCTGAACACCGGCATCAGTTGTCGAGCGACCCCTTGTGAAACCAAATTGATTTTTATGAAGTAAATTATTTATATTACAGAAATTTAACATTTGATCAAGAATAATTTTTTCAAAAATCTTACTAAGTGTTGGTAGTACAGAAATAGGTCTAAAATTGGCGGGGTCTAATGTACTACCAGATTTAAATAAAGGTATTACTTTACTATACTTCATTAAATTAGGAAACACACCAGATTCGATACTAGTATTAAAAATAATAGCTAAATGAGGCGCGATTGTATCTATTATAGACGCAATAACTTTAACGGAAATCCCCCACAGATCCGCAGTTTTCTTAACATCAATAGTTTTAAAATATTTTACAATGTCTTTTGATGATACTTTATGAAATGCAAAATTCTTTGTACACGCATTTACATTTTGTTTAAGTAATGATTCGGCGACCGCAGTAGAAGAATTCAGTGACTTAGTGGTTAATATCGGAATATCAGTAAAATATTTCTCAAAAACCATTGCAACGTCCTGATCTGATTCGGTTAATTTGTTACTAACACTTTACTGGTTGTTTGAATTGCGAGAGTTGATCTTACCAGTTTCGCTATTAATTATACTCTATGTCATTTTAATTTTATTAGAAGCCGTCTTAATTTTGTTGCTCAAATGCAAAGACTTGGCTGTGGAGCACACTCTTTTAAATATTTTTGAATATTTTTTCACATATTCCCTAAATTCGACGCTATGATTATATGTCCTTTCATGGTAAAGATCATATAACCTATGTCTGCTCTTATGGACTCCTACTGTCGCCCATTCATTAAATGACTTCCGACTGTTCAAGGATAATGTTTTAGAAGTAAAAGTATTATTAAATTCATTGCAAATAAGCTTAAATAATGTTCCATACAAAAAATTTGGATCATTTTGGTATGAAAGTGATGGAAGTTTTGTCACTATGTTACTTCTAAATTTCTCCAAGCGACGTGCATTTACTGGAACAAACACAACTTTCTCATCTACTTGCTTTTTGTGAACATAAGGTAACGAAACTACCTGTCCACAGTGATCAGAACTTAATTTTTGAATTATACATTTATGCAACGGCTTCACATTTGTAAAAATGTTATCTATACATTTTTACAAATGTATAGACCGAAATGTTTAAACCGAAAGATGTCGTTCGGTGACTATAGTCACAGGTGAGGCAATAATTTTTTTGGGGACTGTAGTCACCGTGGACGGTTGAGTTGTTATATGTATTTATGTACCTTAATGATAAGATTTTTCATTTTATTCTTTTTTGCACTACAATACCAGTATCCCAAGCAAGGTATAATATAAAGAAAGTAAAAGAAAGAAAATAAAAGAATGAAAGGTGTGCGTGTGGAACAGAGTAATTTCACTCTGTTGCACACGCACACGTTTTACCATGTTTCAACTAAACGATAATTAGAAATAAAATAAAAAATAGTTACAGGTCCTTGTTTGTCTTTTTCGACATAAATCCGCAATTTTAGACCGCTCACGATTTGAAAATCATAACAAACAAAAAAGCCTCGTGCGCGCGAGTTTCGACCGACTTGAAATGATTACTTACTATTACTCTATATTTTTTACGTGGCAGAGTCATACTGCAGCTATATTAGTAGTATAGTTGTAGCCCGAATGGGTCGGCTCGACCGAAGAAGGACCACGCTCTCAGGATCAGGTGGCACAAGTTGCGGGGTCGAACTCACTGGTGGACGTGGCCAAAAAGCACGCTATCTCACCTGGCATCGTTCCCGACAGACATGGTATCAGTGATGAGCAGTTAAAAGCTAGTCTTCACGCACGTCTTGTTCCGAAGCGAAACCGAACGGTTCGGAACGCCGTTCAAACAAAAACGAAGTTACACGAACACGATGCACACATACATACCGCCCTATATCCAGATCCCTTCAGCCGTTCTGGCGTGATTAAGTAACATACATCCATCCATCCATCCAAACATTCAAACTTTCGCATTTATAATAGTTCTGCCAACCTATAAATTGTCTTCAAAACTACTTACTTACCTGTCTTCTTAATTTTTTATACGTCACAGAATACCAACGTAAAGTAGAAACTATACTTCTGCGTTTCGCTTGGTTAGTGCAGGTGGCCGGAGGGAGGTCCAACCCCTTCCTCCCCATACCATGGTAGCGAAATTTAAAAAGAAAGGAATAACCCCAGAAGGGTACCAGCATCCCTGGTTATGGAGAATCCTTCACTTTGCATCCACGGCTGCCCCTTGTATCGGGGGGGGGGGGGTCCCGCTCTATACTAAGGGGGGGGGACAATCCGTGGACTTCAGCAACATCAGGGGACTTCACTCGAACCTTAACGCCGTCCACTACCACCTAGAGACGGCGAAGCCGGCCTTGCTCTTTGCTCTTTGACCGAGACGCAGGTGGCCTCTCTGGCTGATACTTCGTACCTGTCCTATCATAATCATAAATCATTTATCACAAGATGTTAAAGTAAGTTATAGCACAGGACATATTTCACCCTCATTACAGGCCTGCAAAATCATAGTAAATTTACAACAATTATTTGAATAAAATTACAATTATTAGAACTATTTGAATAACAATTTATAAGAACTATTTTAATTGCAATTATAACAATCTTTTAAATTTCAATTATTTGAATTACATGATTACAATTACATAAATTATTGAATTATTATAATAGACTAAGTGAACAACAAATAAAAAGAAAGATCTGATATCTTAGTGGGCACCAAATCGGCAAGTGGTATTATCCAAAAAATCTTTAATAGTATAGAAACTCTCCTGGATTAACCATTTTCGCAAGGCACAACAGAACCTTTTATATGGCAGGTCAGTCATTCCTTTGGGCAAAGAGTTATATATTAGAGGTGCCATATAAGCACAGTTTTTTTAAACAGTTCTAGCTTAGGCACAGGCATTTTTAAGGGCACGAGGTTAATTTTTCGTTTAAATGTATTGTCGTTAGCGGTGAAGAGATGACTGTGGTATTTAACAAATTTAGCTGTTTCGTAGATGTATATGCAAGGTACAGTTAGTAGATTATTTGATTTAAAGGTCGGTTTACATGATTCCGACAAATCCATGCCGTACAGTGTCCTAATGCATTTTTTCTGTGCTATAAACATACAACATACCCGTGGTACAAATTAGAATACTTCTTTGTGCCCCGGGCTGGAGTTTGCGTATGCGTCAGAGAGGATATCTGTTCTCGACGCCTCGGCAGTCTTGAAGTTACGGACCTGTCCATCCTTTGGCTGCGCGTAGACAACGACGACCATCCCCGCGTCTACGGGTGCCTGTATAGGCCCCATAGCAATAATGCTGACACAGACCGACTCATCGACCACGTCTAAATGCCTACAGATTATTTGCTACAACAGATCCCATCCGTAGAGATCGTGATACTTGGCTTTTAACGCCCACCACGCTGAATGGCTAGGTTCACGTTTAACCGATCATGCGGGGAGATCTGTTTATGACTTTGCCTTGGCATTAGGTCTAACACAACTGGTTATTTCGCCCGCCTACGCGGCGAAATAACCAGTTGTGTCAGAGTGTTGTTAACAGTGGTAGAGCCACGCGGCAGCTTTTGCTGTCGCACGGATGGGCCGGCTCGAACCGGGGTGGTACCACGACCTCACAGAAAACCAGCGTGAAGTAGAGGTTTACCTCTGCGTTTCGCTTGGTGAGTGCAGGTAGCTGGAGGCCCTTTTTACTGGAAATGAGGCATTCCATCTTAGTCCTCACGGGTGACAACGCATCTACATTTTGATTTGTAATAGAGGATAGATGTAGATGTCTATGGGCCGCAGCAACCACTGACCATCAGGTGGACTGTGTGCTCGTTTGTCACCATTATCGTATAAAAAAAACGCGGATTCCAGATGTGGAGGATCATACACCTTCCCTGTTGGACCTTCTGCTGACTTTATATTCGGACGGATATCAGGTTTCCGTCAATGCCCCTCTCGGCTCTTTGGACGATTGTCTGATCCGGAGTGTGGTGCCACTCACGCTCTCCTCGCGGTTGCGTTCTGCAGGTTGCCGCCGTGTTTGGCATTACAGGTTGGCGGAATGGGACGGAATGCGGTCTTTCTTTGCATCCTACCCATGGGGGCGGGTTTACTTCTCGCAGGATGATCCCAGCGCTGTTGCTGACTCTTACCACCGATGTGGTGCTACAGGGAATGGAACTATTTATTCCATCATTTGTGGTACTCATCGGTGGCAGATCTCAGTCTTGGTTTGGTCGCTCCTGCAAGACTGCATTGCGCAGTAAGCAGGAGTGTTATCAGGCCTGGGCTTAGACTTTGGCGGCTCGAGATGTAAACACCAGCATGCTTAAAAAGAAGTATAACTTTGACTCCAGGTTCTTCAAAAGAGTTATTGCCAAGGGAAAGTCAGAGCACATAGGCAGAATTGGCGAAAAACTAGTTCGCCTTCCATCGGGAACACGTGCATTCTGATCTCTCGCCAAGGGAATTTCTGTAAACCATCACTACCATCTCTGCACAGGAAGAATGACTCACTGGCCCACGCCGCAAAAGAGAAAGCCGACCTTTTAGGCTCCCTTTTTGCGTCCAACTCGACTCTTGATGACGAGGGGAACACACCGCCGACCATCCCGTAGTGTGAGTGCTCTATGCCTGATGTGCGGTTCACACAGTGCTCAGTACGCAAAACATTCCTCTCTCTGGACATCCACAAGTCGAGTGGGCCTGACGGAATCCCGCCAATTGTGCTGAGGATGTGCGCTCCAGAGTTGGCACCGGTTTCAACGCGTCTTTTTCGGTACTCCTACTGCCTAGGTGTTGTCCCGAATTCATGGAAGATCCCTAAAAAAGGCGACCGTTCAGATCCCTCCAACTATAGGCCTATCGTCATCACCTCCTTGTTCTCGAAAATAATGGACTCCATTATTAACTGCCAGCTCATGCGGTACCTTGAGGAACACCAGCTGATTAGTGACTGTCAGTATGGTTTCCGACGGTGTCGCTTAGCTGGTGATCTTCTTGTTTACTTAACACATAGATGGGCACAGGCGATCGAGACCAAGGGGGAGGCATTGGCCGTTAGTTTCGACATAGCGAAGGCCTTCGATCGGGTCTGGTACAAAGCGTTTCTTTCGAAGCTTCCTTGCTAGGGGCTTCCAGAGAAATTGTGCAATTGGATCACCAGTTTTCTGGCTGATCGAAACATCAAGGTCGTAGTAGACGTATGTGCTCCGATTACAAGCCTAGTAACGATGGTGTACCTCAAGGCCGCGTGTAATCACCAACGCTGTTTCTTCTGTATATCAATTATATGTTGCAAACCGGTAACATACATTTCTATGCAGATGACATCATTGGTGATGCTCTATACACAGGCCGTGCCAGTATTTCTCGGGAAAACGTCGCCGAGTACCGGAACAAACTTGTGTCTGAAGCCGAGACTTGTCTCGGATTGGGGGCGACTAAATCTAGTCCAGTTCAATCCCCAGAAGACACAAGCGTTTACCGCTAAATGGAACCCCTTTTTCGTATCTCCTCAGTTTCAAGGCACTCCCCTTGTTGCGTCAGCCAGTATCGGAATCCTCGACGTCGACATATCGAGTGACGTGCAGTTTCGTGGTCACTTGGAAGAGAAGGCCAAATTGACCTCTAAAAAGCTTGGCGTGCTCAGCAGAGCGGGACTGCATTTCATGCCGGCATACCGGCTGCAACTTTAGAAGGCGCAGGTTCGGCCTCACATGGAATACTGTTCCCATCTCTGGGCAGGGGCTCCCCAGTGCCAGCTCCTTCCACTTGACCGCATCCAGCGCAGATTGGTTCGAATCGTCGACGATCGAGTTGTTTCCGATCGGCTTGACTCACTGGCACTGCATAGAGATGTTGCATCTCTTTGCGTATTTTATCGCATGTACCACGGGGAGAGGAATTGTTCGGATTAATTCCAGCCGCTCAATTTCACCATCGCAGATCGCGATACCATCCATACCATCTGGATGATTGGCGGTCCAACATTGTGCGATTTAGAAGATGTTTTCTTCCTCGCACAACTTCCTTGTGGAATCGATTACCACAAGCGATTTGTTCGGAAGGATACGATTTAGGGAACCTTTTTTTACCTTCAAGAAAAGAGCCTACTTATTAAAAGGCCGGCAACGCATCTGCAAATCCCCTGGTGCTGCAGTTTTCATGGGCGGCGGTAGTCACTTACCATCAGGTGAGCCGCATGCTCGTTTGCCCCCTCTCCTATAAAAAAATTACTATATCAAACACTGGCAGCCAAAATGATTAACGAATCTCATGCCGCACAGTAAGTGACCAACAAATCGTATTTCAGTATTTCTCTGTTATCAAGCGAGCTCGTTATTAGTAAACGTGGTAGAGTCCTGCTGCAACTATATTAATTGTATAGTTATAGCACGAATGGGTCGGCTCGACCGGGGAAGGACCATACTTTCACAGAATATCAGCGTAAAATAGTAACTTAATTCTGCTGTGTTTCGTATGGTAGTGAGTGTAGAGAACCGGAGACCCTTTTTACTGGAAAAGAAGCATTCCATCTTATTCCTCACGACTGACAACGCATCTGCATTTTGATTGATTGACCGCCATGAAAAACTGTCCAGCTCTGATGAGCACGCCAAGCTTTTTAGATGCCAATTTGGCCTTCTATTCAAAGTGACCACGAAACTTGTTAACTATCAAGAAGATATGTATTTTAAATAAATCTTCCGTTTTGCAGAGTTATTGACGGAGGTATTCCCGATGATGTACAACAATAACGCATTATCTATTGTGCGTCGTGTGTATGTCTACATGTCTGTTACAAACAGATCCATTTCTAGTATTGAGGTATTGAAATCCGCCGCATCTGTGCTCGTTAACTTGACGAGGTACAAGATTACCGGGCCTAAAATATATGAGGTGAGACTCAACTATTTTATAAGTTTTCTTTTAGATATGAATGACCTATGTATATATGAATACCTAACGTTATTTTGCATTTTCTTTGCAGAGAGATCGTATACCACCGGTACTGAAATTTATGTGGCGATTTAGCAATAGCGAAATTCATTTATTCTGTATATTATCAACATACTTATGGCTGTTTTCAAAGTACGATGGTATTAAAGAGGTAAGATATTATGTTCAAGGACTTGTTAAACTAATCACTGTAGTAATGTAAGAGAATCTATTATAATAACCTAACTATTCAATTTCGTGAATGTTCCGATCAAGAGAATCGCTAGAAAATAGCCTGAAGAAAAACCACAAAATTATGTTCTGTTAATAAGTAAGGATATAATAAGGGCGGCAATCACACCATATGGATTTTTTTTTTATAGAAGAGGAGGCAAACGAGCATAATATGGTTCACCCGATGATAAGAGTGAATTCCAGGCAAGTAGGCGGCCTAAAGGTATAAGGTCTTTTCTTGAAGGTTAACTAGTCGTATTGGTCCGCAAAAATCGCTGGCGTCTGTTAATTCTACGGAGTGCTTGTATGGGCTGAATATTCTGCTTAAATCGCACTATAGTGGACGTTCAAACGTGCAGATGATGAGGATGGAATTAAGATTGCTCCTTAAGGGGATCTACTTTTCAAAAATGAATTGTTAACAGACTGATGATGACTTACGAATGTAAACTTTCTTATAAAAGTGTTTACATAAAAAACTCAAAAAGTTTAATTTAATTTGATAGATATAATTTGTTATAAATTAAGAGGATTAAGTAAATATATAAATTCATTTTTGTGCTCTGGTATAGAGAGCCAGTATTATTTCTCTGTGTGGCTTTCTCACTATTAATCCACAGAGGTGAGACATTTATAGACTTATTTGAAGTTGACTGCAAATGTCTATGGGCTGCAAAGCCATATAGCAATAAGTACTCCTCCTACTGTTAATTCTTTAGTCACAGTAAAGTTAAAATAAATACATAATTTATTCCAGGATCTCACACAGTTTCTTCACATTCCTGAAAATCATAAAATACTAGTAACAATAAAAGGTAATGTTGATAGAATGAAGAGAATGGCCAACAATGTAACGAAAAATCGGTTCCACACTCCACAGCCTTCTAAATTCATTTCACATACAAGTAACCACTCATTTAGGGACAGTATGAACCATAGTATCTGTAACACAAGCAACATTGCACATATGCGTAATGTTTTATTGCCAGCTTTGGAACCTGACTACGGAATTGTAAGAGCCGACAAACCGCGGTATTTTGAAGATGCTCAGCAAGCTATTAATTGCTTATTTAAGACTTACAAGTTATAGTAATGTAAAATAAATATTAATTACATGTAATATATTATTAAGATATATAAATTAATATGACGTTTGATAAAATGTATTTGGGAATTTTGATGATTGACCTAATGAAGATTTCAAGCGGTTATTATTTTTGTATTTTATAAAATAAAGGTTTACAAAATTATTTGTTTCTTTAATTAATTCTTAAGTAATGTGATTTCGATTGTTGGTGATTATGGCTGCATGTGGTGCAATATTCATATGAGAAACTCTTGATTCTCAATCTTCTCTCTTGAAACTCAAATTCTTGTTTAGGAAGTCGCAGTTTTACATGCTTTTGAAGCTTTAGTTACAAGAACAAACAAGAGCTTTGAAATTGTTAATTGCAATTTTAAGAAGTGATTTACCAATGTGAAGGAAAACATCGTGAGGAAACCTGCATGTCTGAAAATTAAGAAAAACATATATTTTGAATACATGTGAAATTCGCCAACATGCTCCAATGGCAGCACGGCAAACATTTCCTTATCTTAAAACTTATATAGGCACAGCTTAAAAACTATTGGTAAATCCAATGGTGCATGCCCTAAGCGCATTAAAAAAATTACGTATAACATGATTATACGTAAATTTTTTAATAGTTTAAATACACACAAGTTTTCACCAATAACCTTATTTACCAATTTAAAAAAAGTTTCGAAAATCCAAAAGTGCACGACTCGTAATGCTCATATGATCATCCATAAAGTCCCAGACGTATTAGGGAAGGCAATGTTCCCTGAGATACAGGTGATAACCTAGTTCAGGAGACAGAGCTCCTTTGTATCTAGAAAAATTTGGTTGCTAATAAAAGTTATTTTATTTTATTTATTATTTTTATTATTTATTCTGTGTTTTTAAAACATTGTATTAAAATATCTGATTATTATAATAATAATCTATGTAATTTGGTTTTTCGAATATTTTGTATTTGTACAGCGATCTTTTTGAGCCGCTGCAAACAACTGACACAGTGTTCACTCACGACGGCGATTGACGACGAAATAAGTGAGTGAGGCAGAGGCAGTCTATTAAGTTCAACAATCATTTACCTTTCTCACTATGTGCTTTTTTATCATTTTTATGTTTAATATGATTGTTAGATACGATTTTATGCGACAAGACGTTGGAATTTTGATTTTTAGGCGCTAGTAAAACATACCTTTGCGCTTAAGGCATGCAATAATAGTTGTTAAATATTGTGGATTAATGTACGGGTATTCAGTCTGATAAAAAAGTTGAAATGAAAAAAGAAATTTGACATTATCTATGAAACGCATCAATAATCTATGGCGTGAAAACATTGCGTAGTGTTTCTATATAGTTTGTGAAACATACATTGTAAAAACATTGTGGAAACATTTTGTGTAATTTCCGATTTCCGCTCTCTTCTATTAAAGAAACAAGACGAGCAGCCGGTGGTTTATTTTGGTGTCAAGATCCGGTGAATTAAAGGGCCATTCCTCTACCTTCATCATAAAAACAAGGCCAATCAACCTACAGCCCTACAGCCTTAGAGTAATTACACCACAGAACACTAATACCCTTAGGAATTACACATAGAGTGATAGTGACATTCAAAATTCCGTTCTAAGTTGAAGCAACAACACTATGAATGTGTGCATAAGCGGCCTGTAATTACGTTTGCCCAATCGCGCATAAGCAAATGAGTAATGCTTGCAAGTTAATGACATTTTCCCCAAAAAGTGGGGAAAATGTAATAGTAGACATCGTCATAGAATTGATATTTAGGTTGCGTTGCGTTGTATTATTTAGGTTGCGTTTGCGTTGCAAATAGAAAAATGTGACATTATTTATTTTTGTTAACTTGTGTGATATTTAAATTATTTATATACGTAATATCTTGTGTTCACAATCTATTATATAATTATATTATTCTGTTAGAAGTTGTATATTTATATAAATATTTGTGATTTATCTTCCATAAAAATCTTATACTATTTGTAAATATTAATTTTTATATAATACTCAATGGCCTTATTCTATGATGTATAGAGAAGTAGAAGAAATGGAGGAGGCAAATGCCTACGTCCATTTCTTCCAGTTTTTCCAATCCAGTCCCACATAAACTTATCTACGTGGTAGAGCCACGCTGCAGCTATATTATGGTTGTAGCACGAATGGGTCAGCTCGACCGAGGAAGGACCACGCTCTCACAGAAAACCAGCGTGAAATAGCAGCTTAACGCTACTGTGTTTCGTATGGTGAGTGTAGTAGACCGGTGTACCGGATACCCTTTTTACTGGCAAAGAGGCATTCCATCTTAGCCCTCACGGGTGACGACGCATCTGCATCTTGAGTCTTTATTGAGGATAGATGTAGATGTCTATGGGTCATAGTAACCACTTTTTTTTTTTTATAGGAGAGGGGGCAAACGAGCATGCGGCTCACCTGATGGTAAGTGACTACCGCCGCCCATGAACAACCGCAACACCAGGGGAATTGCAGATGCGTTGCCGGCCTTTTAAAAAGGAGTAGGCTCTTTTCTTGAAGGTCCCTAAGTCGTATCGGTCCGGAAAAATCGCTGGTGGTAAACTATTCCACAAGGAAGTTGTGCGAGGAAGAAAACATATTCTAAATCGCACAGTGGTGGACCGCCAATCATTCAGATGGTGTGGATGGTATCGGGAGTTCTGCCGCGATGTGCGTTCGTGAAATTTGGCGGCTGGGATTAATCCGAACAATTCCTCAGAGCACTCCCCATGGTAAATGCGAAAGAAAATGCTAAGAGATGCAACATCTCTTCGCAGTGCCAATGAGTCGAGACTCGGTCGTCGACGATTCGAGCCGCTCTGCGCTGGATGCGGTCAAGTGGAAGAAGCTGGCACTGGGGAGCCCCAGCCCAGAGATGGGAACAGTATTCCAAGTGAGGCCGAACCTGCGCCTTGTAAAGTTGCAGGCGTTGAGCCGGCATGAAATACTGTCCCGCTCTGCTGAGCACGCCAAGCTTTTTAGAGGCCAATTTGGCCTTCTCTTCCAAGTGACCACGAAACTGCACGCTACTCGATATGTCGACGCCGAGGATTCTGATACTGGCTGAGGCAACAAGGGGAGTACCTTGAAACTGAGGAGATACGACAAAGGGGTTCTTTTTAGCGGTAAACGCGCAAACTTGTGTCTTCTGAGGATTAAACTGGACTAGATTTAGTCGCCCCCAATCCGAGACTTTGTCCAGCAAAGACTCGACTTCAGACACAAGTTTGTTCCGGTACTCGGTGACGTTTTCCCGAGAAATATTGGCACGGCCGGTGTATAGAGCATCACCAGTGCTGTCATCTGCATAGCAATGAATGCTACCAGCTTGCAACATATCATTGATATGCAGAAGAAACAGCGTTGGTGATAGCACGCAGCCTTGTGGAACACCAGCGTTAATAGGCTTGTAGTCGGAGCATGCACCGTCTACAACGACCTTGATGCTCCGATCTGCAAGAAAGTTGGTGATCCAATTGCATAATTTCTCGGGAAGCCCATAGGAAGGGAGCTTCGAAAGAAGCGCTTTGTGCCAAACCCGATCGAAGGCCTTCGCAATGTCCAAACTAACGGCCAATGCCCTTGGACTCTACTGCCAACGCCCATCTATGAGTTAAGTAGACCAGAAGATCACCAGCTGATCGACCCCGACGAAAACCGTACTGGCGGTCACTAATCAGCTGGTGATCCTCAAGGTACCGCATGAGGTGGCAGTTTATAACGAATTCCATTATTTTGGAGAACAAGGGGGTGATGGCGATAGGCCTGTAGTTGGACGGATCTGAGCGGTCGCCTTTTTTAGGGATCGGGTGGACAAAAGCTGTCTTCCATTATTCGGGACTACGCCTAGGGAGTAGGAGTACCGGAAAAGACGCGTTAGAACCGGTGCCAACTCCGGAGCACATGTCCTCAGCACAATTGGGGGGATTCCGTCAGGCCCACTCGACTTGTGGATGTCAAGGGAGAGGAGTGCTCTGCGAACCGAGCGCTGTGAGAATCGCACATCCGGCATGGAGCACTCACACCGCGGGATGGTCGGCGGTGTGTTCCCCCCGTCATCAACAGTCGAGTTGGACGCAAAAAGGGAGCCTAAAAGGTCGGCCTTCTCTTTTGCGTCGTGGGCCAGTGAGTCGTCCTCCCTGTGCAGAGATGGTAGTGATGGCTTACAGAAATTCCCTTGGACAGCCTTGGCGAGAGACCAGAATGCACGGGTTCCCGAAGGAAGGCGAACTAGTTTCTCGCCAATTCTGCCTATGTGCTCTGACTTTGCCTTGGCAATAACTCTTTTGAAGGACCTGGAGGCGAAGTTATACTTCTTTTTGAATGTGCTGGTGTTTACATCCCGAGTCACCGAAGCCGCAGCCCAGGCTTGATAACACTCCTGCTTACTGCGTAATGCAGTCTTACAGGAGCGACCAAACCAAGGCTGAGATCTGCCTCCGATGGGTACCACAGATGATGGAATAAATAGTTCCATTCCCTGTAGCACTACATCAGTGACAGAGTCAGCAACAGCGCTGGGATCATCCGGCGAGAAGCAAACCCGCCCCCATGGGTAGGAAGCAAAGAAAGACCGCATTCCGTCCCAATCCGCCGACCTGTAATGCCAAACACGGCGGCAACCTGCAGAACGCAACCGCGAGGGGAGCGTGAGTGGCACCACACTCCGGATCAGACAATGGTCCGAAGAGCCAAGAGGGGCATCGACGGAAACCTGATATCCGTCCGGATGAGAGGTCAGCAGAAGGTCCAACAGGGAAGGTATATGATCCTCAACATCTGGAATCCGCGTAGGCGATGTAACCAGTTGTGTCAGACCATATGCCAAGGCAAAGTCATAAACAGATCTCCCCGCATGATCGGTTAAACGTGAACCGAGCCATTCGGCGTGGTGGGCGTTAAAATCGCCAAGGATCACGATCTCTGCGGATGGGACCTGTTGTAGCAAGGAATCTGTAGCCATTTGGACGTGGTCGATGAGTCGGTCTGTT